TATATTTTTTCTGTTTGCAATAAAATATCTAAATCCTTCGGTCTGATTTGAATAGCTGTGGAAATCATGTAGCGCAACAGGGCCACATGAGGTTACCGTCAGTCTGAGGGAAACAGTCATTTCTGGGTTTGTGCTACAGCTTCTTGGTTATGGGGCAAATACTTGATCATTAAAAACTTTACACACTACCCACAGAGTAACTGCTCATGGGACAGAAACAATGTCTCTCACAGAGAGAAAAAAATTAAGAGGAAATATCTGAACTCTGTGGTACCAAGGCCAAACACTGTGTTCTGTTCCCTGGTTATTATGAGCGTAAATTTCATGTTCATTCCTTAACCTTGCCTGTGCCACACTTTGTGAAGACACAGTAGGCCTGTAAATCCTCAAGATGCTGGCCTGGAATAAAAACATGAGACAAGTCTGACAAATTTTATTTCTGTCATCCTTGCGTTTGCCCAAAAAATTCTTCATACCATTTTTAAAAATCTGAGATTTTGTGTATGAAAGACAATGTGGGTTTTACTAGATATTTCTTCTGTCCTGTGAGCATTCTGCTTAAAGCTAATTATCAGTTTAATAGAATTTAATGTGACCAGGTTTTCAGGTAAGAAAGGGTTATAAAAAAAAGAACTCTAATTATTGTCAGTTAAATGTATTTCGGCCTAAAAGCACTGTTAGCTATGAGGGACATTGCCCAATAATAAGGTTTTCATCATTTTTTTCTCTTTACCAGGCATGATGCAGCCAGAGTTCAAAACTGTGTGATAAAAATCACATATGTTTGACAGAAATAAACCATCAAAGAGATTTAAAAGATCTTCATCGGTACTGTTGATTTGAGTCATTCAAACAGATGAATTCCTAAATCTCACCTTATATTCACACTTACAGGCTCAAATACACATACCTGGGAAGCTTAAAAAAAGCACTTTTTCAAATCACTTCAAATTTATTGGAATAATGAATCAAGTGATTGCACATTCTCACAATGGAATCACTCATACTGATTCCACTTCTAAGCACTAACTTGTGCTTAAGAAGGAATGATAAAATAGCTAATATTTTAATAAAAGCACCCTCAAGGCTTTCAGAAAATTACATTTGACTGTGCACATTAAAGAAATGACATCATGTTATATTTTCTTAAGATTCCTCTATTGTAAGTCTCACATCCCATAGATGAACTCCAAATCCAGATGGCATCAATAGTCTTTGTATTTCTTTCAAACAGAATATGTAGCATATGGGTAATTCTCCCAAAAGGGCCTCTTCCAAGCTCAGACTGCAAAACTGAACAAGGACTGCCATTACACAAAGTAATCAATGAGCATATCCAGGCACAGCAGAGATGTAGATGGTCCATATACTGTATAAGGGCAGGACAAAACAATTCAGCAACTGCTGCTCAAAAATGTTCAAATTGCTAGAATACATTGTTAATTCCAACTTGAAAAGATACTTCAACATCTTGAAAATGGAGTTGTTAGCAAAGGACTCATAGTGCCTGAAGGGCTCCCATTCTTATTCTGAAATGAGCAAACTTCTGATATTTAAAACAAATCAAACCTAAAATTCTCCAGGGCTATAATATGGATCTTACATTTAACTTTTGCAAGGACTTACATGCTGCATTGAAACTACACACAGCATGTAAGGTGAGTATTCTATGTATTCAGGACCTTTATTAATTATCTTTTTATTCCCTGCTCCCTCTCATACTTGCACTCCATCTCTTTGTTTGATGCATCTTTCATTTATAGTGTCATTGTTAATGTAGTCTGAGAGTCAAGCTGGTAAATGACCATCAAGTCCGTTCCAGGCAGCAATGTACCATTACCGTTCTACCACTAGATGACTCCCTGCATTTGAACATTTGGTGTGCGGATTAACCATAGCAGTATTTCTGGTATATAACCCCACATTTGTGGTCTAATACGCTCCTTTAGTCCAGCTGGGTTTCTGCTCTCACATGGCATTTCAATAAAAAAATACATATAGGAATGAGTAATGAGGAAAGTGTCTAAAGAAAACAGAAAAGCAGGGTAATGAGGTTGCTGCTGTGATTAGGATCAAAGCTGATTTGACTGTTTCTGACAGGAACCAGACACTCAAACTGGTCTGAAAGCAACTGGACAAAGAGATGGCCATGCTCTTCAGCATATGATGTGGTGCCCAGATGATGAAGAGGGTGAGCAAGCATAATAATAGGGTGATTACGGGGTGAGAGGACGTGTGAATAGGCAAGGAAACGTGAGAGGTCAGGTGGTCAGCGATGCAAAAAGTTGAGGGAAGATGTGTCTACAGCTACACGGAGCAAATGAAAACATGAGAATGTGTTTACACTGTAACATAAGATCTACAGTCTCACTAGATGGTAATCTTTCAGAATTACTTAAACGGTTCCACCCTCTGGCATCGCCTGATGATTGCAATATAAACTCACAATCAAAGGCCTTGGATTGATTTCAGAAGTGAGGAGGTCAAGAATTAAATGCCTTAGATTTATCATTAACAATACAGATTTTATGTCTGGAAAAGCCAAGACTCCTTTATAATGAAGTTGAAAATTAATTTCCCACCATACAATGTCTTCTGTGAGGACTTTGCCCCTGTAATGTGTGCTTGGATTTTGTCAGAGGGTCCTTCTGGTTCCTTGCCTAATTACAAAAAACTTCCTTCCTGGGAGGTTATCTGGGGGCTTTTGAATTAAACCTTGGAGTGAGTTTGAGCATGCATGATTGTTTTTCTCATTTATTTCTGGGCTGGCTCTGTGATTGACTAGCGATCTGTCCCGAGGGCCCCTTTTCTGACGGTGTCTGGGACAGGCTCCCTCTGATACTCAGAATGGGAGGAAGTCATCAGGAGAAAAAAGAAACATTCAGTCCATGTTATGCTAATCTAAATGTAGCAATAATCCCCACACAATAAACAGTGATTTTTAACCATTGATTATATTTTATGATGGCCCTTTTCAGTTCAAGTGGCCATGTCAAATAGGGATACACAAACAATAAGCTGTGGCCATGGTGGCATAGTTGTATTGCAGGCCTATGTTTATCTGGTTCATGTGAGTGGGAAATGTATAAAAGTTTTAAAAAAGTGTGCAATCTAATCAAGATGTTCTTAGGATTACAGTGTCTTTTAGAAATCAAAATCATGTAGTGTCTGAAGTATGTTTATTACATTGAAGTTATAAGGACTATGAGGAGCTTTGCAAAGTACTCACAACTGAATTCAAATTATAAATGCAAGAAAGGCAATTGATTAACGATAAACCATCAAACATCAGTGACTAAAAGTAACGCTCCGTGAGCAGTATTTCTTCTCCTTCCATCATGCACTCCCAGATATGAATGAAGGGATCAGTGGTGGTTTGAAAAGGAGGACCCGAACAGCAGCTTACTTAAATATTTTTTCTAAAATGCTCTCTCTGGGTGTCCAAAGCTCTAAAAAGAAAAAAGGGAGAAATGGAACAAATTCAAACCAAAATATCATATAAGTATAATAACAATAATGGTGAAGTTGCAGCACTAAACAACGGAAATGTAGCAGAATATATTCTGAAAGAAAAGATTATGATGACTGTGCAGATGTGTGTCTTTCAATAACTAAACCCTGGTGTGAAAGGAGGGAAGGATGCAAAACCAAAAAAACTAAACAAAGCTGGTATAGTTTTGAAATATAACAGGAAATAAGATGAAACACAGGGATTGAAAACAAGAACAAAGAAACAAAGAACAAAAGAAAACTCATAGGCCATAACACAAATGTCAAATCATTGGAAAATCCAATTTTTCCTTGATTATGGTACCACAAGAAAGGATCACCAGCAGTCCATGTAATGTTTCTCAAGATTTTCGAGTGTAATGAAAAAGTAACTAGTTAAATGGATCCCAGCTCTGTAGCACAAACTCTCATATAAATGTGTCAAAGAGATGTCACGGCTTTTCATCCGTACCCAAGAAAACAGGCCGACAAACAGTAGTATCATTTATAGTACTACATTTTGGCTTTACACATTTGGTCTCAGTAGTTTTGGCTGCACAGTTTATACACAGTCACTCACGCTCTGTACGGTAAATGCCACAAATATCCTGGATGTTAAGCCGGAAACAAGTGGAACTGGTACAAAAACACAAAAGTTTCTTTGTTGGAGATTTAAAGAGATTTATCTCGCTTACTTTGGCCCATTCCAGGAGTCAGTGTGCATTTGTGTATATGTGTGTATGTGGAGTTTGTGACTCTGAGCGCTGGCTCCAATAGGCCCCTGCTGTGTCTGAACAAGCTCATACCTCAGCCAAACTTGCGTCAACTGATTATGTGGGTTTGCATTCAGTCCTGTGTAAGTATGTCAAAGGGTTTCTGTTTGTTCATGTATTGTTTCATCCCACATCCACTGTACTCCTCCACTTCTCACAACATGGGTAAAATCATTGATGCGTTGAAGTAAGCTGCAAATTCAGTGGTGTTTGTTTATTATTATTTCATGCTTCCAGATAACACTTGTTGTACACTGACGCAAGTTGTAGTCTACTTCGTCAATGTTTTTTTTTTTCTTGGTGAAGCTGATTTCAGATGCAGGCAAAAAAACTTAACCTGGCAAATAAAATGCAACAGTGTTTTTTTTTTAAATGGTTTGATTAGGATTATTCTGTAAAGTTACATGGGAAAAAAACAAGAGATAGAGGAAGTGGTGTTACTGATCCCTTCTCCTTCTCCGGCTTTTACACAACAGTATTCCAACTATTTTGTTTGTGTGCAAGGTGGTTTTATATTAATTCTCATAGACAATATTTAACCATCGTTAATGACAAATGTGACCAGCTGAATAACCTGACCCTGAGCTGAATAGTTTCACCTCAGTGCACAAGGTAAAAAGTGTGTATGTGCGTGCGTATGTATTTGCATGTGTGTGGATGTGTGTGTTTGTGTGTGCGTATGAGTGGGTGATTAGCAGTTACTGGAGCAACAGAAGCACTGTATCAAGCCTTTCTGAGATAAACTTAACCAGTGTAAGAGGGTCTACATCATGACACTGATGGATTGTGCGACTTTCGCTGTTTTACCATCCATCCAGCCAACCATCAGCTAAAATGCCAATTGAATGCTACTTTAGAAAGTGTTAGACCACCAATATAGCTGGAGCTTTTGAAAGAAAAGAGTGAAGATATTCAAGGTCATGGGGAACTCAGAAAGTGTATGGTGGTCTTTAGTGGAGGGTGCTTGCAGGATTCTTGGAGTTTCTACAGCAACAGGTGAGATAAATATTAAAGTTGCCTACTTTAAATGCACAAGATTATTAGTTGCTGTTTCAGTTTGTTCAAGTACAACTTGTTCTGATTTTTGCTGATACTGTCTATACCTCGGTCATAAAATCAAACATTTTTTAATCCAAAATGTCAAAGGATTTTGATGCAATGAATGCTTATCCGATTTATAGATGCGTATAAATATATGTATAGCTCCATTGTTGCCTCCTTCAGTCCCCAGGGACAAATGGACTGATTGCACAAAAACCATCAAATTATCATGAGAGAAATTTCCTTTTGGTTACCGCCTCCTTGAAAAAAAAAATGCAACCCCCTATTTTTAAATTCAAACAGCTGCAGACACTGAGCATTAGCTCAGACATGTGCCTCACATCATGCCAGCACTTAGTCGCCGTATCCAGCTGGGCTATTTGGCTAAAACGATCAAGCTGTTATGCATTCATACCAACAAGAGCTTTGTGTACATTGTTTTCATGTGGTTGTTTATGTATGTCTACTGTATGTGTGCGCATGCTTCCGTCTGACCACCTCTGTCGGCATGTCTGGGTAGCCCTGTTGGTTGTGTGTATGTGCTGAGAACAGACATGTATGTGGAGGAGCACATGCATGTTAATACCCAGCTGGAATATACACAGCGTCAATTCTTCTCATACTTAATCTACCGGCAACTATTTAGCCACATCCCTGCTATTTCCCTCTGGTGAAGATTGTATCTTTGATTTTCTGTTAAGTTGGCAGAAGAAATAGCTTCCATGTGTTAAGCAGTCATCACAGTTTAACATGCTAATCTATGGGAGAAAAGACGGGTTGATGAAATGGGCGTTGCTGTGAATTTCAAGACTTTGACATGTCAGTCTTCATCTTTATCGCAGTGAGTTGCAGTTCATGTGGGCCTACCATCAAATGTGTGTCAGCACTCTGATTTGAGACAAGAGGCGGCAGACAAAAGAAGAAAAGTTTACCTGAATCCTAAAAACAGAGAGAGAATCATCCATCCAAGGGCACCAGTCCATCACAGAGACAAATGAGATGAACCACCATGCATGAAAGATAATCATTTTAAGATGAGAGGTTTATTTTCTACTCAGACAGTTTTAGAATATGAAAGTTTCAAAATGTTTGTAACACAAAAAAAGTATGACGTCCTTCAAACACCTTCTAAATCAACCAAGAATTTCAATATTCATCCTTCTTTTATGTGTGATTGGCTGTCTGAAGGCTGTTTGAACTTGATTTACTCAATTGAATGGAATCATTTATCTATCAGCTTAATGCTTCCTGTGCAACACAAGCTAGGAGCATATTTGATATACACACATTGAACAGCTTTGCCCCTGAAATTCAGAATTTCTCTCTACAAAACATGCTTCTGCTGTTGCCAAAAAAGATTTATCCTTAGGTTCAGAAATGGTTTTCAAAACACATCAGGCGTGTGATGTTAGATTTGGAAGATATTAACCAAAGACAAAAACAGACAGTTCAATTTATCTGAAAATATTTACATCCAAACAATGCTTGTACTTGACCTCTTTGGAAATCTTACAGTTTCCTTTCATTTTCTTTTTTTTCTGACAGTACTTAACTCGACCTACATGTTGGCAGATACTTATTTACATTCAACCCTTGTTTCCATGGTGTTTTGTACATGCTTAGGATAGTAAGGGTACTGGAACAGGGTATCAAATTACTTATAAACCTTTGAATTTTTTTGCTGTACACTTTTTTCCAATAATGGCAGCTGCAGTCCTAATAACTTCATCAAGATGTGAAAGATTTATAAGTCTTGGCAGCTAGAATTTTTGAGCTATGCCCAATTTTTTCCCCATTGGTCTTTCTTTCATTCTTTTGCTTTAAATTTTAAGAGAAATTGTTTTGCCTGTATGGCACAGTTTACTTTTAAGACAACTGATGGGCTTCACTATTCATTCAAATTACATCACTTCCTGGCACTGCTATGGTAATTGCTTGCAAGAGTAAAGTATCATTAACTTTTCAACAAAGACAGAGAGATAATTACAGAATGACGTGTTCTTAAATATCTTTTGGTAATGTATTTCATCAGACCATCATTTCTCCTTGCTCAATAGATTATGGTTTGAACAACACTCTTAAAGCGACTTGTTTTGTTTTTCATGGACACTAAAGTGTTATTCAGCCATTAAGTGAGTTATAAACTTGTCCAACAAGTATATAGGCTATATGTAAAAAATAAAATATGGAGAAACAAAAGTAAAAATTCCAAAGTAAAAGATCAAGAAAACTGAATAGTAGTTATATCATGATGGTAGTTAGCAAAGTTTAAGGCTTTTTACCCTCAACTTCAACCCTGCCCCCAGATGATGAGAAACTCATGCAGTAAGTCTGACATCTGGTGGACAGAATCTATTTATCAGGTGATCTATGAGGGAGAGAGGTTTTTTTTATATATATCTGTCTCTTTTTCAGTTTTGTGTGGTGTGGGGATTGAAACAGTACACGAGGGAAGATTCAGCAGCCTTGGAATCTACCTACTGTAAGTGCTCAGGTTTATAACTATCTCATGGCATAAGGCACTGTCGGAATTTAAACCTTCTTAAGGCGGAAATCTAGATTAATGAGAGTAACATGATGTCATCTCTGTGCAATGAACACTGAAACAAAGACTATGTGTGGCCTGTTGGCGTTTACAAAACATTTTCCGTGACTGTGTTCAAAATCCATCAAATATATACACTTGGAAGAGCTTGAAAAAAGTCAAACGAGATCAACCCTCTAATATTACTTTCAATTATCTCTGTGTGACACAGCTTAATTCCCATAGATTCACAGGAAAACATCTCCCTGAGGAGTGCAGAATTGCAAGACTGTTTATTCTGTCATTAAGAAATGTAGATTGATGCTGCATACACAAATTCAAAATAATAATCTTCATCCACTGCTTCAATACACAGCAAGTGACCTTTTCAGAAGGAGGTCACAAAATGTATAAAGTTTGTTTTACTTAAACTGTATTAGTTTCACTTGGTTCACTATTTCTTCTTCTTACAGCACGTCTTCTGTTGGCATCATGATGTTTGAGCTGGCTTACTTCCTGGATTATATGCTGTCCATGTGTCTGCCGTGAGTTCTTATCCACAATCTGCTTCATCAAAGTTAGGATGCTTCCATAATGTTGTTAAAAGTACAAAGCAATGGTGTGAAAGTAGATTTCTATCGATACATACTCTATACCACTTATTCCTAATATGGCTGCTAGTAGATTTTTTTTAATTAATTCATAATATCAAAAGGATGTGACCAAGAAAATGTTTTATGTTCTCTGGACATGGATCTGTTTTTATGCGTTCTGGTGATTTTATTAGCAAGGCATTAAAAAATGGCATTATATCTAATAAGTAGCCGCTAATTAGATTTTGAATAACATTGGATTACAATTACTTGGACAACAATTTACATAGAACGAGCTGCCTTGATGTGGACATGACAATACAACTGAATAAATTGATAGAAGTTGATTATCGCTAAACAACATTACAAGCAAACAAACACAAAAACATCAAATTCAATAGCATATAACCTGCAGTTAGGTTAGCATCCTTGGGAAGGCTGAGTTGTTAAAACGGGGAGTTGTTCACAAAACAGAGAATTGTGCCCTGAGGTGGCATTAAACCAATAGCATACCTGATTCTGTGGTAAAGATCATAACACTGAATGTAAAGACAGAGTGAGAAGCATGACTGAAAACCATTGTCAGTGTGGATGGGACGGAAGAACAAAGGTTGCTCTTTTTCTCGACAGCTGTCCACCCGACTGGCAGTTTTTTCAGTTGTGGGGAAAGATGGCTCGCGTCGGAGGTTTCCATAAATTCCTCTACTACTCCATAATGTCAGTTGTGTGCTTTTTACACCCTGTGTTGGTGTGGCATGCAACCATCCCAGGTAAAATGTCACCCGCAAGACAGAAAGTGGGAAGTAAGGTAATGTTGCTGTACAAGTGATGTCACATTTCAATAGCAGGTGCTTTAAACTGAAGCAGCTAAACTGAACTATCTTATTCGTCATTACCATTTAAAAATGTTTTATTCATATCAAAGCCGTATTTCAATTCTTGCATAATTTGAATGTGACTGAAAAGACTAACATTTAAAGAAGCTTTACCTTTTTGCATGACTGTATTCTGTGGGGAGGGGAGCCTATTGAACTAGCATTTAGTTTGTGACCGCAGGATCAATGCTTCTGGTGACAGCCTTTTTCAACTTCATACTAAGCAAGAAAACAAAGGCTAAGTCCCCGAAAGGTCCACGAGAGAGCAACAGCGAACAAGAGCCAACCACAGTCAGTGTGACAGGAAGATCAGGCTCAGACAGCACAATCTCATTCCTCCATGCAGTGACAGGACAAAGGCGAGAGGAGCTGCCTGTCTCTGACAAAGCCCGCTGCCTTGGATTGTTGGAGAGTGGAGAGAGTGTCCAGGCCATGTTGGATGAAGAGCAGAGAGCAGAATCTGAAGGTGCAAACATGCAGAGGAAAAGGTGGTGGAAAAAGAGGAGGCCAATATGGTTGAAAGGGAGGGAGGAGCCTGTGGAGAGGGAGATGGAGGAGATGGAGGAGTACAATGAGCCAGAGCCAGGTACCACCTCAGATACTGCACCTATGATCACAGACTGAACAACCGCCCTGCACTCAGATTAAGCTGTTTACTGATAACACATAATAGGAAGCATGAAAAATGCATTCATTATGACTGTGTGCAATGAGCTAATACAGATATAACAAGCTGAGATTGCATATACCAGAATGAGTTTTTTTTGTGTATGACAATTGTGTTTATTTCATGTGATCATCTTAAATGTGAAGAATATCTGTGTTGACATTTTAGTGGTTGTGTATTTTTCTCAAGACAATGTCAAGTGTAAACCTCGTGTAATTATTCTTGATGGCTATTTGTAAATTCCAAGAAATTAAACCATATGTATGTGCATGTCCATACGTTTGGCTTTTAGTCTCTCTGTGATTGCAAAGCCAGCACTAATTAAAGCGGAGACATTAATGCAAAGCAATCCAATCCAGTTACGGCAGAATGCATTATTCATAAGGAAATAAATTGGATCAGCTGTGTTGTTCATTCAGAGAAAACGCGTGTGAGAGTGGCTGGCATTGATGGTGTGCAGATGCATGTGTTAGTCTAATTCAAACCTCCCCATTGTGTGTTTGTAATACGTAAGCGGTGACCATGGAGACAGAGCTCAGGGAGCAGCACTTGTGTTATTATGGTGATTAAAGAGATAGAAAATATTCCATCACAAGTCTGTTCTCACCATATCTTGGAATAAAAAGGTGTCTTAGTATTCATAATATTAATAAGGTTTTTAAATGGACCGTACATCAATAAATCACTGTAAAATTGACACGCTTGGGGTAGAAGGGCTTGTGTGATAAGCTATCTCAACATTTCACTTGCTTTCTGTATATTTAATCACCGCACAGGATATGAGCCTCAACACACATGCTCCTCTTTTGTTCAGGTCATAAATCAATACTTTTGTTCTGTCAAAACACACAGACAAACACACACACACTGTACTCACTGTAGCCCTTAGTGCTTTGTTCACTGAACTGTAGGTATAAACCATGCAGGCCTAAGAAGCAATCTTTCTGCAGCATCTGAGCTAAAGAGAGAATCAATAAATTCAGAGAGCCTCATCCATCAGAGAGTTCCTCAAACAGAACTGGAGACAGACAGCAAATACAGAGAAAAAATGCATTTATAGCATGAACACAATAAAAAGAGTTATTTTCTAGGTTCAATACAAACTTAGTTCCCAGTAGCCACCTTGTCTCATACATCCCGTTCTGATCTTTTCTTTTTTGTTGTTGGTTTTTACGTTTTATCATGTGAATCCAGTCAGGAGGGATAAGATGTGCTGATATTTCATGGAACAGCACAGACACTCATTGTCCAGAGTTTGTCGAAGTTGCTCACTGAGCTATGTTGTGATTCTCTCTATGATCTCTGTTCAATTAGCAACTAAGTGACCCAAAAATACATAAAGGAGAGGGGTGGGAGGGGGGCTCGTCAGTATTTCCAATCTACTTCCATAAAAGCCGCTCTAGCTTTGTTACATCCTTTAGAATGATCTGTTCCATGTGAGGGAAGTCGGTCAGCTGCTGGAACGACTCACTTCCTCTGTGCAGCAAAAAACATAAATCCTATTCAGACACAGGGAGAGAGAGAGACTTCCTACATTGTGTTTCCACCCTATAATAGTTTCCTAGATGGCAAATCCGGGCTCAAAAACAGGATGAGTTGTATAAATCTGTAACACAGAAGCCACAGAAACGTCTTCCTTTCTCAATTCAACCCCACAAAGAGAGCAAACGTCTTCAGAGGACGGTACCAAGTAAGAAATGACATTTCCTTATCAGTACCTGAAAGCAAATATCTGTAAAACTTAAGAATTAGGGATATAACTAGGATCTAAAGTTTGGGTTAGAAAATAACTTCCCTTAAAATATCATCATAGATACATTACAAGCCTCCTGATAAATAAATGAGAAAAGCATGTGGACAAAGTGAGTACATTTGCTTAGGACATGCAGCCTGTTTTGACCCCTCATGAAGATCCAAATATCCCACTGAGAAAAGAACAAGATGCAACTAGATGGTTTTGACCTGACTTGCGACGATGTGTTTTAAAAGAGGTTTTTGCATCAGATAAAAGAATATGATTTTTCACGTAACGCAACCTGATTGGCTGACCAAGATCAGTGTGGTTTTCTATTGGACCATCCTCTGGTCAGTCTCAGCTCTGAATGGCGCTCTGGCAAGGAGGCATGAACACTAAGAGCAATAAACGGCTCTTATCGCTGGTAGATATACGGAAGAACACGAGGGACACGCTCTGTTATGGTAAGAGACAAACTCAGAAAAAGGATTGCAAGAGTTACTTTTCATATATTTGAAATAAATAGGCAACTCTAGGGAAGTCGAGCAACACCTCAAACCTGGAAATGTCCAGATGACAGCAAATATTTAGGACTTGAATTCCCACATTTGCAAATAATCCGTTTTCTTCGTTTGAGAAAGGTTAATTCGCTTGTAAGTGGCATAAAAGAAAACAATCCTCGCCACCTCTCATCAGCTGTTCAACAGACAGGTTTCACTGCACTGAAATGTGGGCAGATGCTTATTTCCAGCAGCGTTTGTCTCGTTATGTAGTTTAAAAAAAAACTATTTTAAAGAAACGTGTTGGTAAAATTGCCTTTGTGTGCTCATCGGGGTCTGTTTTGGATATTTTACGCGTGGGAACGGTTTTTGTTGGGAAGCAGCTGCCAGATGAGGTACGATAATTGGCAACGAATCTCAGGATGATCAAACCAATTAGATTGCGATGAAGGTTCTTTGTCCACACTGGAAGCTTTTCCTCAACACGAACCTATAAAAGAGCTGGTATAAAGAGCAGAAAACCCCGAAATCAGTGTATCATTCAACACAGTGACTTCTCTCCAGCCGATGAGATTTTCGCCTGTCTCCTTCGCAGACACGTCCAGTGGCTGAATAATTCATTAAAATAGTGACAGACTGAAATCCGTTAAGTTATGGAAAATTTATACGTCCATTATTGTGTATTAATATGTATGAGCCATAGAGTGACCATACCATTATGTGCATGTTTGATCAGTTTATCAGTACTTCCAGTATAGTGGGAACAGGCCATGGTCATCAGATGGTGTGTTGTTGTGTGACAGGTGCTGATATGGCCTCATGGAAGACAACTATTTGTCGAGATTATCAAAAAAGCCCATGTGATAAGATTAATACTGACAGATGACCTGTATTTAATGTAACCTATATGTATTTTTAAGTTGCTTGGAAAAATTAGCACATTGCATTTCAGTGATTACAGTGATTACTTAGTACTTTTAACTGTTTCCTCATTTTTGTGGTAGCTACTTGTGCATGTAAGCAGTTTTCATTTTCTTCTTCTTCTTTTTTCTTAACAACTCATGCTAGAGATGCTATAGAATCACTTCCTGTGCTTTAACTGATGACAAGAAGGTTTTGACGGCGCACATTGACACTATTGTGAACGTTTTTTTAAATAAAAGTAGTTGCATCATTGTGGAAAATTGATTACATTAGCCTTTTGATTTCAGCCAATTGATTCCTCTTCTTATCCTGTGACCAAAATACACTAGATATATGGATAGTCTTACAAAGTTTGGAATTCTTACCTGTTCAGTAAAGATTCCTTAACTTACTCAGTTTTATGAGTAAACTAGAAATCCCTGCTGCAATCCACACATCTGCCTGTGGAGCCTAAGGCTCTAACAGAGTCAAACTGCTTTCCCATCAAACATGAGAGGTGCCAAAAAGGCTCAGTGACTGGGTGTGTGTTATCTTACATACACTAGATGGCACCATAACAACATCAAAATCTTGCAAGCGAACAAATAAACTGCTCAGCTTTTCAAATATCCTTGCAGAATTTTATCAATCAAATATGAGCTAAATGTATGCATTATCATTAATAGAAGAATAAGGCAACACATGCATCCAGTCACTTCTGTTTTCACACTTCTACTTACATTCTACAAATGCTGCTGTGCATACATTTAGGAAAACAATGTAAAAGCACGTAAGAAAGCATAGCTACCAAATAAACGTGCTTTTGCTGCTATTTATTTATGCTTTCAGTTTGGGATTTTGAAGTTTTCAGTCTTTTTGATTCACTCCGGATTAGTGTAGTTCTGTGGCCTCTTTCCAAATGTGTGTTTGTGTCTTCAGATTTTCTATCTTGGGGAAGGCCATGAAATGGATGTTGTGAATTTGTTATCTTTTCTTACAAGACAAATGGATGCATGTTCCTTCCTGTTCTGAAAAAATTGCACTGGGTTTGGCCTCTGAAAGATCATTCTGAAAGTTTTTTTCTTTTTTTCTTTTTTACCCCTGTCCAGGTGTGGCCTCACCACAGCATTGCAGGCTGTTTGTCTTTACAAAGGTTCTTGATGACTTGCTAGAGCAGTCAGAACATGCTGTTCAATACTGGGACTAACTGCTGAAGAATGAGCCAAGATAACCTTCAAAATACCAGTAACCGATAGGTTGCCGGAAACATTTGCCATTTACTTACACACAAGCCTCAGCTCAGATATGAGAAGAACCAAGTGACTTTTTCATGATGACCATAATGAATGCCACTGCCACTGAACCAGTTTTGAAGTTCTTTTAGAAAATAACACAGCTTAAAAATCATCACGGATCATTAGAAAAAACTAGACTTGGTAACTTGGTAACTTAGACTTAGTTACACTCATTTATTGGATTTTAAGGAGGTTTACTCTACATGGCATGACAGGGTCAGTAATAAATGATATTTGACTTTCACACAGATTTCTTTACTGTGATCACTGATAAAACATGAAGAATGAAGTCTTAACTATTGATGTTTTTGACAAAGCAAGCTCTGTTTTTCAGTTTACTTTCACTTTCCAGTTTAACATGTGCTTTCAAGCAGTTAATGGGAACGAGATGATAGTTTCGCAAGAGTTCTCACATATTCGTGATTTTCCAAAATGAAAGCTAAGCATGTTTGTGCACGCTTTTGCTATTTACTTTATCCTACCAACATCAACATGGGTGAAGGACAAAGTACTATGTTTGAGTTGGTGTGCAAGTGGCAGGGAGGGGGGGCAATGTGCACTCTGGGATTTTATGAAAGACCATCCTGTCATAGGATTTACAAGAACTCTCTGCCATATGTTAAACCCAATGATAAGCTATCATAAGGCACTTCCCTTCATATGTTCTTATTAACCTGAGCAGTACTGGGTTTAAAGTGCAGCGCCAACTGCTGTCCATAGAAATCCTAATCACTGCTCTTTGTTTTTGTTTTGCTTGTTTTATTTTTACAAAAAACAAATTCTTCTGATTTAAGCGCAATGTTCTATTATAATAACAAAACAGTTTACTTCTGTTACGTACTTTTTCAGTGATTTTGAGTGGAATGTGTCTACTTCTTCTCCGCTGCTGACTCTTGGCCTTTAGTTTATTACCTAAGGCTGAGGTTTAACTGACCCATTGTATTCTGCTGAGGAGTGAATCATCCTCCCCTTCCTTTAATTATGAAGGGATATCAAAGCCTTTAATCTAAAATCACACAACCATAGAATTGTTCTGATACATTTATTTAAAATGTATGGGAAATAATTTTTCAGACATTATATTCATAAAAAAATAAATACCAAAACAGTCATTTGTCTTATATTTTTCAGTTGCTTATACAGGACCACATATGAACAATATACTGACCATTTAACAATTCTCTGAAGCACAACCTGTCACTGTTTATAACAAGCCTCCAGGGCTTAGTGTTTGACACAACAGTTCTCTTTTGCAGAAGACACAAACAATCTCTTTGCTGGTGGCCTTCCAAAGATATTTACACCTCAGACCGAAACTCAGAGAACATAATATCTGAGCCTTTTGACATCTGTTGAAAGAAAAGTGGTAGTGCTGTTTTTTTTAACAGGTATTGATGAACTGAATCGGATATCAACAGCCCACAGTGCAGTAACAACTAGTCTGTACACATATTCCCCATGATGAAGTCTTCATGCCATTTTTTCAGTCTGCTTAACTGTTGGGGGCCAGAGGCGGATTCTTTTTCTGGCCACGTCTCCTCTGTTGGGGCTGCTGGCGTCGTCCGCCTTTCACTCTCCTCCTCCTCAGACACACCTTCACATCACGGCCCAATTTGTGAGCTCTAAAATATCCATACAAAAGCACAACAGTTAGCTTGGAAGTTAGGTGGAAACTCCAGATTTCAGGAGGAGATGTGCCTTCATGTAAAACCTGCTTTGAACTATTTTCTCTTATTCAACGTTCAGGCTATAAACTGTTCAATGTATGTCCCATAGGAAAAGCTACACAAAAGAGCTACTGCTCAACCTGTTTTTCCAAGAACTGGTTAGGCAGCAAATAACAGATATGTAAGATGGGTGGATTCCTTCTATTTAAGCTGAGTATTGCAATTGCCATGTAGATATAGCTGCAACCTGAATAGAAGCATGGAATTATCCTATAAGTGGATTTCCAAAGCTGCCCATCTTCTAAAACTGTCGCACATCTAAGTTTTTCATAGTTTCTTCTATACGGTGCATGTTTACTCTACTCCAACTCTCACCTATTCCAGCAGCGGATGAGTTGTTTGGCCATCGGTGCTCCTGGATCCAGGCACACTGTTGCATCATTACGCTTCAATGTCACTCTGAAAAATACAAAGAAAGCCTAACGTTTTGTCCAGCACATGTGCTTGTGTTTCTCTGTATGCATGTTGTCAGGTGCATGTGTTTGCACTTTCTGGTACTCACATAACTGTGACATTGCTACAGCTGGCAGATTCGGGCACAACTAAGAGCTCCTTTAGTTGCCCCCTGATGCGTGGCTGTGTCTTTGGACACAAACATCTTCCTGGGACAAACGTGCCGTTTGACTCCCGGACTGTACAGAGACAGTAACAAGAGATTAATTCAATACAACACAATACCAGTGGAGTTCATTTTTATCCCAGTAACTCGATCCGACAGTCTTACCTAAGCGAAAGTAACAGTCTTGCTTTATATTTGCATTTAATAAATACTTAAATTCTTACCTGTGGTCAGTAGACAGTAAAGACTCAGGAGGGCGAGCTGAATGGCGAGCTGGGGATACGGTCTCATGCTGGATACAAGCTGAGCATTTCCACTGTGCTTCTGAGCCACATGTTGCTCTTTATACTGAATCTCCTCCCCCCACTCTTCAGAGCTGGGTTTTCCGAAAGCAGGAAATTCCCCTAGTTTACCTTTCCTTCTGTCATCTTAAAATATCTGGATACTGAGTTAGGATGTAAGGATCAGGGACATCCTACATTCAATTTTACAGAAAACACTTTGAAAGTTGAAGGACTCGCTGATTAATGTATCCTTGTTTTCTTCAAAGATAATCCCCCCAGGTTTTCTTATCTTTTTAGGGAATTATATATGAAGTTATTAATGTTTCTTTCCCGTTTTAAACCTTTAGCTGGTTAAAGTTGTAGAAGTGTCCCTTGAATGACTCTGAGACGCTCTGTTAAGCTTTGCAACACTACAGGGCTTTTATCTCCCCGCTGGCTCTGTGTCAACAACATCATGTGATTTCTCATAATTCCCCGTCCCTGTTCATAGGCCTGGAGCAGTAACTTCCATAGCTTTCCTTTTTAATACTTTCTTTCCTCTAAAGTCAGAGACATTTTAGAAAATAAACTACTTTGTAAATGAAATTGTTTATGGCTAATACATTTGTTTATTGCCCTTTTTATTCAGATGAAGATTTCTTATGCCTGCATATCAATATCTGTATCATCTTGGTCAAACAGTAAGACCTTATACAAAGGCCATATAAACTGTCTTTCTGTCATTTTCAGCTGGGCTGTAGGTAGAATGGGTGAGAGACAAACCTACGTGAGGCTGAGTGAAGAGAAGCTCATACCAAAGTAAGTGATCAGTTTAGTCACTGCATATTTAGCTTTAACAATTAACTGAAAACAAAGTGAAGCTCACACGTGTTGTGTGTCATCGATGATTACTGTGTCTGTGAACCGTTTGCACTAATTCATCATCAATGCCCACATTCAGGTCTGACATACTGTCGCTGCTGAGGACCTACAACTGTTACCACGAAGGAAAGAATTTCCAGTTGAGGACTCGCGAGGTAAGATGAGCTGAGACGCAGGTGGCGCAGATACTGGATAGGAACAGGTGATCAGAGGAATCGTTGCAAATTGCCGCCTGCCTGTAGTTAAGAATTTGGATTTTGAAATAGATACTTAGAGCAGAAAAGCTAAGTTCAAAATGGCTTTCTTTGTGGTCAGTTCGGAGTCCAGACTTGTGAATTCTGGGTTGTTTTCCAACATGGCAGGCAGCTGGTGAACCACAAAAAGCCCCCACTTCCCTCAAAATGAAGATGCAAGTAAAGGGAGAGTTATGAAATCCTGCTTAACAAACCATTTTTCAAAGTGAGCATTTTGCTGTTGTGTCTGTTACGCTGTTTTCAAGGGTCTGGTTATTTGTTTGATAATCATTCTATGGGTTTTATGGTCGGGATTTCCCCTTTGTGTTCAGGTTTTAAAGTGGGAGCAGTTGCATATATGTTTGTCTGTGTATGACTATGTAAGGGCAGGGCAGAGTGGTCAAGATGTGTCCCTCATTTTTGTCCCCCAAGTCAGACCTACTGCATTTCTGTTCCACATGGTCACGTTGTGGGAAAATCCCCCTTGGCCACACATTATGCAAAGAGCGGAAGCAGTTTGGTCACAGTAATGATCTAATATCGACCACAAAGGACACAGCATAATAGGATGAGTCTCAGTAATCAGTGAGGACAGTTTAAAGACAGACATGGTCATTTTGATTCTATAGCGAAAGATTCAGCTTTCTCACAGGCTGTGTGAAGTTTCCATCTAGTGGGATTTTAAAAGTGTGTCATCTTTAAAATATGTGGAGGACCAAAGGAAAGTGAAAGGAGATGTTCATTCTTCCCTGAATGCTTCGTATTAACACACTGGTCAATAATAAGTTCTGGCTATGTGGATATATATATATATACCCAGTATATATATGTGTGTGTGTAGATATAGGTTTACAAGAAGCCTTGCAATGATATGAGTGTTACTTTCCTTTAAAACATCAAGACATGTACACCATCAGTTGTTCTTTATATATATATAGCTTTTTAAAAAAAAGTTTTTTTATATTTTAGTTTTTTCTCAGTCTTTTGACACTTAAATGCTGCAGCTGCAGGATTTATTCCTAAACAATCAGCACATCTCGATGATGTGCAGTTAGATTTGCATGCCATCCATCCATCCATTACTCCATAATGGGGTCACGGGGGGAATGGAGCCTAGCCCAGTTGTCAATAATAAAAAAAACAGGTTTAGTCTTGTTTTTAGAATGCCGACTACATTGTTTTGAAGTTTTTATTTATTTATTTTGGAAATGAATAAACTGGAGCTTTGTTTCATCATCCAACAATGTTGTAACAAATTAAATTCCTTCTAAATTGACCAAGGACAGGACTTCCTTCCTGGCTCTTGAAGTTGTCCAACAAAGTCCAGCTGCCTTTTTTCCACCTCTAAGTATTGCCCTGACCTGGAGGACACGACCATGTTCTCAACACCATCTTAAAAAAACAGGTTTACGAGAAGCCTTAGGATTATATGAATGTTAATGTCCTTTAACACAGCAAGTAAGATATGTGCACCACTAATTGTTCTTTAGTTTTGTTTTCTTAGAGGACTACTCCATGTTCCTATATAATAGGACATAATGAGAATGAAATGGAAATGGCGAGAATATTGCTGAAAACATTAGTTGTAATAACAAAAACAGCATTATTAGTAGTATTATTAATATTATTATTATTATTGTATATTTAGTGTTTGAATAACCATTCAATCTATCCTGAGTCCAAGAATACATTTTGAAACTGAAAACTAGGTCATTGACATTTGATATCAATTTGTGGTGACAACCCTTTTTTTTCTGTGGGTATATGAGGCTAAAACATTTCTCAGAAGTGATATTCTTTAATTAAAGGCTCGCTCAAAGACCAAAACATGGAAACTTTAAATTACAATTTCTATGGTAGTATGTTGACCATCTTAATGAGACTTGCAAAATGGGAAATGTGTCTGATTCAAACAGGTTGTGTGTGACAAAGAACAGATTCATCTGTTATTTCAAAGATTAGGGCATGACCACGACCAGGTGTAGTCAGGTGATGTCTTAGTCATTTCGAGGCAGACCGTGTCAGGTGATTTACATTTACAGTTCTCTGTCAGTCAGAGTAAACTCAACCCGTCATTCAGGGGAGAAAACAAGTCTGAACATATTGGATGGCTCAGAGTATAACTATGTTTGCCCAGATAATTTGTGGTACTTGATAATGTACCTGAACTGCTGGATATTCTATGTATTTTCTGTTCACTGCACTGAGCCTGCAGAATCAGGAGTTCATTTAGTTTAAGTTTACACTTTGCACTTTAAAATCCACTATCCTGAAGATTTTAGATGATTCCCTGCTTCAACGCTCCTGATTCAAATTATTACTTGTGAAGAACTTAATGATCTTTTGAAGAGATCTAGAGGTCTAAATAAGGTGTTTTGAAGAAGGGAACTACCTAAAACCTGCAGCAGAGTGGCCCCTGAGAACCGGAGGTGTAGATCCCTGGCTTGAGCAGACCAGTGCGAGAACAATTTATCTTTGTCATTGTAGTCACATGATAACTTTAGCACATCTGTGCTATATGCTGTTCATGAATGTTCATGAATTTCTACAGTAATTTTTTCAGGCTATTCTTGCATTATATCTATGTGGTCATCCTTGAAAAGAAGACTTTGTTCTGCTTTGTTCCACTTGTTTATATAGAGATTAAATGGAATGTTTTCTTACACCTAAATCCTGGGCTCCTTTTTCCATTACACTAAAGTCATATGAGTCAAATGAGGTCAGTCTAAGTAGAGGAGTGGCTGAATGTGTTTACTTTGGCTCATTCTTTGTAGTATCCCAAATATGAGTATGCAGTACAATCATGTAGCTCAGCGGTGATGTCTCTTACTCTTCAGTTCAAAAGACTTCCACTGGATGGCAGTGGAGTGCTGGGATTTCATGAAACAAGTTAATAAATGTACTGGCAAGTGTAGGTTATAATTGGAAGACTTGCAGAAAGCATAGCACTCTCAGCACATATTAAGTTTGCACTACTTAAAACAGGATACTGAAAATGGCGATTTGAATTAGTATATGTCTTTTATTCTTATTATACTGAATTGTGAACTGATGCTTTAATAACATTTTAGCGTAAAACATTCTGTGGCAGACTCTTAACCAAAACAACTACATAGTTTATAGTTAATCTCTTTATTGTTGGAATGATTCCTTAAGGTTTATGTCATAGTCATTAAAATGCTAACTCACATGATCAGAAATGGTTTAGCTTTATTTGGCTTTGTGTTTATTGGACTAACTTGGAATTAATTTATTAGACTTAATTGTTATGATTGGAATTTAATTAATTTGATTTTAGTCCGTTTGAATTAGACTGTATTTTTAAAATACCTTGAATTAATATTTGTTTTGGCACTATGTCATTGAGCACTATGTCATTGAGGTTTATAATCTCAAGTATTATCTTAAAATATAGTTAAAATGAGAAATTAGCATTTTTTTCTACAGGGTACTGCATATCCCAATATTTTTCTAAGCTAACAATACTTGCCAGATAATTGTCATTTAAACAGTAAGAACTAAAATAAAATTTTCCCAATGTGGAAGTTAAATGATAAGATTTTTTAGTAAATGGGCCTTTCTGGGCCTTTCCATGTCTTTCTATGTAGAGCCTGCATGTTATCCCTGTGGGATTCTCTTCCACTGCCTCAGCTTCCGTCTTCTTCCCACAGACATTCATGTTTGTTTACTAGTGTCTCTAAATCCATTTTAACGTCTTTCTTGTCTTTGTTTGGCCCTGTGATGGACTGACGGTCCAGTCCAGGGTGGACCTCAAGCCTCTCATCCTATGAGAGCTTGCACAGCATTCTCCAGCCCCCTGCAACCTTTAACAAGATTAAGCAGCCTGGGGCTCTTCAGATGTAAGTTTCTAAAGCCCCCCAAAAAGAATGTCTTCACTACAGAAATATAAAAAACACCGGGTACCTATTTCTGGTATTTTAGTCATTTATTTGAAAGTCGGTATCTAAAAAAATGAAAAAATAAACAATGTAAACATAAAATCCTGAGTTTTTTTCATAGAAATAAATACTGCAGCTCTTCATTGTTCTCTTGACTACATATTAAAACTGTCTTTATTCAGCAACACACACAGTGTTTCCTTCTGAGGTTCCTCCAGTCTTACGCCACCAAAGTATCCACAGAGTGTCCCACAACAACAGTGTGTTTTTTTCAAGTCCTTATCTGTCCAAACAGCCAGTCCACAGGGTCTTTTCCCCTGCAGTCTCTTTCTCTGCTCATCCTTGAGGGAAAATCCTCTGTGCTGTTTGTGGTGAGACTTGCGGGTCTGGAAGTCCTTAGTGTGCGAGGGGTCGCACGGGCGACTGAGACCGAGACAGAGAGCTTCATCTGGCCCTTTGACAGCTGACGCAACCGGGGAGACCTCTGGAGTCTGACAGGGCCACAGTTAGGGGCCTCAGCAGGGCATGCAAGGGCCTGGATGCTTGTCATGTAGTCCTCCAAAGACGGAGAGCCCTGGACAGGCTGTGTGGCAACAGGGTGAGCAGGCAAGTCCTCCAGTGTCTCGGTAATGGTGGGCAAGAGAGGCAGTGACAACAACCTGCGTTTCATTCTGTGGAAGAAAAATAAAACGATTAGGCTGTGATATTCCTTTGTTTATCAAAAAAGTAAGACATCAGTGGTGTTTTTTTTAACCTCTTTGATGATGTATAAATACATATTTGCATATATCCCCTGGTTTATTTTCTATATGTATATTCAGCTTTTTCCTTTGAGTCCTACAAAAAATAGTCTCATATAATTCTCTTTGTTGTGAATAATCCAAACTTTTTTTTAGATGGAGAATCCTCTGCAGTAACGAGCAGCTCTTAATGAATAGGGAGAAGTAATATTGTGCTCACCTTTGCTGCTGAATCGAAGGTCTTGAACACAGAGATAAACGGAGTGATGTCGAGTGTGTGCAGCTCAGTTTGAGTGGACCGCTGTGTGAATCTAGGCTTTATAGAGGCAGGCTAGAGCAAAGTGATTAACTGGTCATTCCAAAAATAGCTCTGCTGACCTCACCCGCATGTGTGCGAATCGGTGTGAGTGTGTGCATGTGAGGGTGTGTTCATGCCTGCTCAGGAAACTCAGGAGTGGCGGGTTAGAAGGGTTGAGTGCTGCTGCTGTGCTGAATGTTTACATTTCAGAAACAATGAAGCTCTGTAAGAACCAGCAAAAATGGTTTCTATCCTTTTTCATTTTCTTTAGTTTAAAAATTATTTCAATGAAAATTATAAGTTCTAAAAACAACTTGCACATTTAGATTTATAAAGTAAAGCATGTTTCAATTACAAGTTGTGCATTCAAATAATTTCATGAAGCGTGAAAAGTAAAAAGATAGAAAAAAGCATGTACTCACATGCCCCAACAGCATGGAAAATTAATTTAATTCAAGAGTCTGTTTGTATATGAACACGATCCCATCTTCTGAGCAAAAGTGCAATCTTCCCTTGTTAAATATTACATTACAATCATATATACACCCATGTACATATTTAACACCTCATGTTGTCTTGAATATATTTTGAACTCTTACATTATTTCCTTTATAATTTAATTTATTATCCTATAAGCATACCTTTCTATATGAGCATTATATTCTCTATGCATTAAGCAATTATTTAACTTTGTTGTTTTATTTTTGTCAAAATTGCTCTAAGTTAGTAACATATTTTTTCTTATGCCTTAGATTTAGAAGACTTCTCCTCTATCTGTTTTCCTTTAAAGTTAAGATCTCTGTGCTTAATTGATTTGGATTTTTCAATCAGAAAAATCTGTGTTAAAAGGTCAGCAGAGTATTATGGATGATTGATTTAAGTATGGTGATGATATAACATGTGTCAGACAAAGGAAACAGAGGGTTTAGTCAGTGTGACTGCGGGCAGTTATGACATTAATTATTCTGGTCTTTGCTCAGTTATAATGATTCGATCCAACACTGCAGATCATTATTATTATTTTCTTAGTCTGGTGTCTTGTTAGTGGTCTACTTTAAAATGATAACGTAAGCTGTCAAGTTGTTTTTGTCCCCGGAGCACGTAGAACAGGTTAATTATTTTTATCCTAAATTTAGAAAAGTTTCATTTTTGTGAAAATGGAAAGCTTTCTTCTACGTGACCCACAGCAGTCGTGGGTTTTTTCCTTACAGCTTTCGCAGACATGACCTCACCCACATAATGTGGAAAAAAAGGGTGGGTCTAACCTGAGAGAGTTTCTCCAAGATGCAATGGTTCACCCCTCAGTTGTGTGCGACTGGTCCTGCACGTACACCTGATACTGAGCTGCTGTGGCAGCCGGCCAGCAGGATATCCTCTGGGAGCCTGACTGCTGATGATTATTGTTTTGTGTCTTTCTCTGTGTGTAGGAGGATGGGGAGCTCATCCTGGAGGGGCTGCTGAACATTTACTGGGGTCTACGTCGACCAATAAGACTTCAGATGTACGACGACAATGAGAGATTTCGCCTTAACAGGTATAACCTGACACAGGCAGGGTGGCTTACAGAGGCCTTAATGGGTCTTGTATTAAGCTTTTTTTCAGGGATACCCCCTCACAAAATTGCACATAAAGTGAAACACAAATAAATGTAATACTCTGTTTATACTGTATTATTCAGCGACGCACGCTCAATTAAGAAAAGCAGTAATAAGACTATTATCATCAACAAACTTTCTTTGTTTCTCTCGGATACAAAAATTGATTCTTGTCTTGGTCATGGCAGTAACAGCTGACAATATAGTACTAAAACGTGTATTATTGACTGTTTATTATATAAAACTATATATATAATAATATTTGTAGAAGCAGGGTTTCTAAAAGGTTTTAGCCCAGAGGAGGGATACAAGTTAAATAATAAAAGTTTTTATTGGTTAGCTATTTGATCCAAAGGACAAGATGAGCTTGTTGTCGTCATTATCACATTTTTCTGACAAAAATCTAGTCATTAGGCTTAAGAAAAAAGTAAATATACTTTAATGTTGAAAGAATATTTTTAATTTTTCTTTTACTTTTATCCAGTCAAGCTTGTAAATAGTCAACAGTTAAATTACAAAGGTATGGAAATGTTCCTATAGAAATGTGAAGACAAAACTTTCCTCTGTTTTTCTACGTGGCCAACTATAGATCCTCTGTGTCAAAGCAGTCATCTTCAGAGTCCAATAATAACTCCCTGAGCAGAGAACCTGGATCAGCAGGTGAGCAGAAACATGTGCAGCTTTCCTCTCTCACAAACACACACGCCTTCTGGATTAGGAGAGATTATTTACCAACTCACATTCTGAAAGAGATTACAGTTTCACATGCCCTTCCATCAGTGCATCCAGTGGAGAGGGAGGCTCACGTGTTACAGTTTCAATAGATCCTACCAGGATCAGACACTATAAAAAGCATAGTCAGTCCACTTACGCATAGCCCTGAGAGTGACCTTTGTAAGATATTTTATCTGAAGGTCTCTATGGACAAAAAGTAAACCGTTGAGTGGAATTTTCCCAGAAAACATGAGTCGTCGATTCAAATCATACATGTTTTAGACCCCATTCCTAGTTTGTAAAATTTATCTATTATTTGTCACTCTGTCAAAACAACAAAATAACTATTTAGTAGATTTTATAGTAACTGTAGTCAATCATTCATTCAGTGGAGTTTGTTACAACTACACTTACATTTTACTGTCTTTTTAAAATGTATTTGACAACTGCATTGGGTTTTATTAAGTAAGTGTAATGTTGCTACTTTTTTAACCATATACATATTTGTATATGTCTGTAGGGAGTGAAGTTGGGCTAGACTGGATTCTGTACAGAATTGTTTCTAATATTAATCCATAATCATTGCAAAAAACTTCAGTAGTAAGCATAACTTTCAGTTCAATTATTATTTTTGGATGTTCTCTAAAGATTAGGTGGGTTGATAAAAATACTTCAATATTTGTATTAAATGTACTGGAGCAAACAAACACATTTTTTATATTTATGAGAAGAGTCCATAAACATATTTTATAAACTACAACCATGTGGAGACCCACGAACAAAAAGGACACATTGAAGTAGAGAAACACTGGAAATGTGTTTGCTAATTTAAATGCTATTTTCTGCTGCTCAAAAGTCTTTTGATATTTTACCTTGGACGGCGTGTGCTTTGTTTTGTTTGTTTTTGCTGTTTGTATTTTACACAGCGATGTTTATATGAGTAGTAATAAAAAAGCAGTTTGGGCAGTATTTAAGTCGAAATGAAATAGTCACCACTGGCAACAGAAATTTGTTGTTTATACATTGTGGGTATTTATTAAAGTGAAGTAGCTTGTATTAAAGAGCAATGATTGACTTTATTGAGTGGATAGTGAGATGGCACTGCTTGATGTGGTGTTCTTTATTTGCATGCTGGAGGCGGTGATACGGGCGGTCAGGAGGAGGAGGACTCCCCACAGCTGCTGAGGACCAGGAGTGACGCTTCCTTCATGCGGGTTCAGAGACGGTCAAACACGCGCACGGCCAGGGATTTGCAGCGCTTGCGCACGCACAGATTCTCCATCAATGGTCACTTCTACAACCACAAGGTACATTGAACCCCTCACACAGATGCTGGGATACATTAATGTATCCCTTTGTTGATGGATCTCCAGGTGCAGAGGGGCAGAGTTTCCTCTGACTGTACTCGGGATGAACTTCACAATAGCCCGCTGCAGGCTGATTTCAGTAATGTGCCACCAAAAACAGTGCACACGGAGGGGCTGCATTAGCTTTTCCTGAATACAGCATGTGTAAATGTTGATGTTGGAAGGATTCCAGGTGCAGACAGAGGGGTTTCCTGTTTTAAATGTCCTGGCCAAAATGCTCAAGTTGTTCAATTGTAGGAATCTATATACAAGGGACACCGTGTACTGTATCTAGATGTTCTTATTTATATTATCCTGCATGATCCCTTTTTTCTCTCTCTCTTCTCCAGACATCTGTATTCACTCCAGCCTATGGTTCAGTCACTAATGTTCGGGTGAACAGTTCCATGACAACTGAACAGGTTCTCAACCTGTTGCTTCACAAATTTAGGGTGAGCAGCAACTATTGATCTTTCCTTATGTGATCTTTAAGGAAAACAATCAGAATAATAACCTTTTTTTTCAAGGTGGAGAATAAATCTGAAGAATTTGTCCTTTATATGGTACATGAAACTGGAGGTAAGACTCTATTAATGGGGAGTTGTGATTCCTCCATTTTGTGCACTCATGACCCATTTTTCTTTTTGTCGTTGACCTTGTAGAGAGAACCCGACTTAGAAATGGTGAACACCCCTTGGTGTCTCGTGTACTGTACGGACCCTGTGAGAAAATTTCCAAGATCTTCATCACAGAGGCTGATCTGGGAGAGGAAGTCACATATGATGTGAGTGCTGACCTTGTCCTGCATCTTTCTGTTTTCTCATTTAGTTCATGTATGTGACTCTGTCATTTTGCTGTGTATGTGTGTATAGCTCTCAACATAGATGCTCAACAATGACACAATGGGACACTAATAGATTTTAGAGTTAAATCGGGCCACACGAGGAAAGATATCCTGTTTTGGGACAGGAGTAACAATAGCTTAAGATGACAGAATGCATTTTGTGTCCATGCTGAGTAATATAAATAAAGCAGCAATAAACAGTTTGACTCTCATTCTTAAAATCTTAGTTGCACATGTTTTGAATTCACCTTCTCTCATTCAAAATAAAACAAAAACCTTGAATTATTCCTTATCATGATTAGTTTAATTATGTGTGCCTAGATTTTAAAGGAGTTATTTAGACACAGGATAAATATTTTGAGAACTTAACCCATTAAAAGAATATTCTTTTCACGAATACATTTGTGTCCATCTTCATGTGGAGTTTGTATAACACTTATCATTAAAGGAAGACATGGCCACATGACTCATGATGATGTTTATCTTCTCTTTACCTCCCTAGGTTGCCCAGTACATTAAATTTGAGATCCCTGTTCTAGACAGTTTTGTAGAGAAACTTAAAGAAGAAGAAGAACGTGAGATAACAAAGCTGACCAAAAAGTAAGTTTCTCCACTCTGCAAAATCAGCCGCCTAACAAACTGTGTAATTACATTAAGGGAAGCTAAATGTGTGTCTCCTGCCAGAGTTGTTAAATAATAACAAGCAGTTGACCTTATCTGAGGACAATGTTGAAATTAGATCACTCACTCTTGGAATGCTTGTGTAATCTTTCAAGTCATATGACTGAAATATTAGTTCAGACTGATTGTGTTTATTGTGCGGATTACTTACAATAGTAACTCACATTGTTATATTTTTTTCAGAATTTTAAAACTTTGGTTTGTAGGATGGATGTAAGGTTAGGGTAATGTTGGATTTAACCCCCTTCATGGGGTTAAGTTCACTATAACATTAAAGTAAAATATGTTTCACTCACAGCTACAGTTCTATGGCTCTGTCTTTAGAATTGAATTGCTGATCACTCTCCATTCTGAAGGTTTATATATTGAAAAAAGACAGATAAAAGGGAACATTTCATCACGGTTTATTATTTTAACAAAAATCTTGAAAGTTCATTGCTCTCTAAAGGCTGGACTTGCACATTTTCAAGCTTTGCCTATACAAACAAACACAATTTGATTCAGTGCCTTAATGTAAGATACTACAGTATCCTAGAATGTATTGACAGATCTACAGGATTTTTGGCTTAAAGTTGTCCTACATGAGTGGGCATAAAGGAAGAGTGGAGTTTTAGACTGACAAAAATAAATAATTATGTTTTTTTGTCATTTATTTGTATTTGCATGTAAGAGTAGTGACCCATATCTTAAACTATTTGTATTTTTTCTACAGGTACAGTGCACTGAAGTCTATGATACAGCATCAGCTTGAGGGCAGAGGTCACACCGGTGACAGAGTATGAGTGTTTCTCACTGCATGTGCTGAGGTGTATGCTCCTGTATGGAAGTGCATGTGTGTGACAGAAGAACCAATGGAAGGGAGAAGCAACACTAATAATGAAACATTTTTGGTGGAACGTTTGTAAATATATAAGTGCTTCCCTTTTTAAATGTGCGACTCATTTCCAAACTCAATCATTTGTAACTTCTCTATTCTTATTGTATTAGCACTGGTATCTGATCTTAATATATTCACACTTTGTATGAAATGTCCTTTTGCACATATAAATATTTATACAAAACTCTCTTTTAAGTATTTTTCTCTGACTGAAGCAATTTGATTAAAAGAAAATGCTTTACTGTCACCTTTATGGGCCATATAGTAAATCATTATTGGTTGCAAATATGCTTAATATCTACTGATAACAAATAAAATACCCACAGAAAGTTTCCCACAAAAACTAAAAGACTGAAGGATTTGTAATATTTCCTGTACTTCCATGAGCTGAGCACAGATTAGCATTGTTCTTTCAGGCAACCTTTTTTGCCAGACAGTTCCCATGAGCTTTGTGTGTGTATGTGCAAGTGTCACCATTACACAATGGGAGTATCCTGAGAGAAGAGGCTGGTTCCTTTTTCCCACAGTTTAACAAACAGAAACTTTGTTGTAATATTAGACGGACCTTGTCCATAAACACTGCCCTACAATCACATGACCAACATTGTTATTAGAGTTATTGGGTGGCATTAATGCTATTTTGTAAACCTGTGATACACTAGTTTATATGCTGATCTGTGAAGAAAATGAAAGGAATTGATAAATAGACTAGACTGAAAAAAATCTGTTTTGATTCTCATTTTTTAATCCACAGTGTGCTGAAGTTGTTTCCACTTGTATAAAACACCCATTAAATTAACAGTCACATAAATTATTTATAAATGGATTAAATGACCATTTAGAAATGGCCATTTACATGTCACTGTGACAGAAATAGTTGTTTATAACTAGATGAGAAAATTATGTAAAACATGAGATGACTGGTTGTCATATGTCATATTGATAACAGAATATCTAAAAGTGGGATTGTCAGGTTGAATAATACGTGCCACCAGATGACGTGGATAAGGACAGAACTGTCTTCAAATTCACAGGTATAGTTGATGAGATGCATCATTAAATAAATATTTTCAATTCCTTGGATGTGTGATAAACTGCTGTGTGCCTTTCCAAAATGTGTCCCTTATATATCTGTACAGAATAAAGTCAGTCAATAGTCAGCCCAATGACCCCAATTGACGGATGGAAGAAATTAAAAACAGTCCGTACAGATCTGTGTGTCCTATGCTGCCTCTAAGTGTCACCAAAACGCAATTACATGTGAACGTGGATATAGAGCTTTCAGAATTATGTATAACTTAGTTGACACGCATAGAGCAATTAAATCATACATCAAAGAGGTGGAATACGGATGAATGTGACACTATATTTAATACTTATAATGGTTGTAAGAGCTAATTATCATGTTTGTGTGTCCAAATCTATCATCTAAATATAGACAAACCAACTAGTAATTACATTATTGATCTTTAAATTGTGTATAACTTGGCAATAGTTAAAAATAAAAATCATGCTGGATGTGTGATCATTTAAATCTCAGGTTCATTGCTGCTGATATTTCTACTTTTGTTGTTTGTTTGCTTTTGTTTTTTGTTTGTTTTGTTTTTGCAGCTTTTTATCAGTCATCAATAGCAAAAAATCTAAACACAAAAATACTATTTTGTTGTTCTGTTTTAGGCGAATCAAACCATTTTAAGGTCAATTATTTGCTTTGACATCGAACACCAAGACACACAATGTCTCTATTTGTTTGTTTATTATTCACGTAATCGTTTTTCTGTTTTTTAACTGTAGTTTTGTTGGAGTCCTTACTCCAGTCTCCAAACCGGATCACACGCCACATGATCAACTGCATTTATTTTGAAACGCATGACCGGAAGACGTCTCGAGCGCCTATTTCCGCTTCAGAGGAAGTGACAGCAGTGCAGCTGGATCTAGCACAAAACGAGGGGACATGGCCAGCAGGCTAAACTCAAAGATAGTCATAGTAGGAGGCGGAATATCAGGGATAGCTGCGGCACAACGGCTCGTTAAAGCTGGATTTCACCACGTTAGGATACTTGAAGCCACTTCGAGATGCGGTGGACGAATCAAAACAGGAAGACTCGGTGAGCAAAGTGCAACACCACTATGACAAGCTGTTTTTATCAAACTGCAGTTTGTGTTAGTGTTTGTGTTAGTGTCGGAAGTTACAGTGTCACGGGGCCGTTTTACTTCTTTTTCGCATCATGTGGTCCACGTGCAAAATAAGAAAGCTCTTATTGCTTATTTACGCATTTACAGATAACATAAAGTTTTTACAAATGGAAAAAATGTGTTTCATGTCTCTGTAAGGTTGTCAGAATAGGAAAACTGTAGTATACCAGCTCTTTTCTGCATCTTTTTACAAATCAGAAAAAGCTTTCACATATCTGAAACAGTAAATTAATGAATCCACAGACTTTATTTTAGTTTTCATACAGGACCTAAAATTGTGTGATAAGCAAAGCATACTTCAGCAGCTTCTGCCAGAGGTATATAGATATGAAAAGTTACTGCCGCTGATGGTTAAGATCATGGCTACAGGTTATACTTTCTGATCAGATCAGTTTCAGGTGGTGGATACGGTGTATAAAACCTTATCGTGTTGCGTTTGAATACAAAGGACATGCAACGGTACAGAGCAGGTTTATAAGAGCAATTGTGAAAAAGAATCAAAAAAGTATTATCAGATGCAAACTGTTTCATTTCGGTGTTTGCTGTAGGGTTTCATATTTGTTGGGAAATCAGTAAATCTACAAATCAAACAAAAGCATTTTTTCTCTCTTACAGGAGACAGTTTGGTGGAGATCGGAGCAAACTGGATTCACGGTCCATCTCAGGAAAACCCGGTGTTCTGTCTAGCTCGTCAGTATGGGCTGCTTGAGCCAGAGGCCCTCACCCCAGAGAACCAGGCAATGGACATCGCAGGACACCCCCCCTGGGTTCCTGCCTTCTACAGCAGCTCAGGTTGCCAGATGTTTGAAAGAATCGTGTCTGTTTGAAATGTAAATGAATTAGAATGCACTTGACGGATAGAGTGAAAGTTTAGTGTGACTTTTATATGTGGGACACTGCAGGCTTTAAATTTGTGTAATCAAAAATGATCTAACTATATCAAGGATAGATGAGCTTCTGAAAGGGATGTTTGGAAAATGGAAATTAATCATGTTTAAGTCCTATTTCTGTTCGATTCTGCTCAGGATTTCAGATGCAAATATGTTTTTATGGCAACATTCACTATTGCAGCTAAAAAGTGTATTCTGACTAAAGCCAATCAGCCATTTGTATTTGTAGCATGCAAGGGAATAAATATAATTTGCTCAAATGAGAACTACTATTTTCTAACCTAGTCTTTTTTATGTATGCAGGTCAGAAGTTGAATGCTGAAGACGTCGTTCCTGCTATTGAGTTGTTTGCTGAACTGCTGGATCAGAGTTCAGAGTTTCAGAACCAAAAAGGAGAACCATTTCCCAGTGTGGGAGATTTCATATGCACACAGGTACACTACTCTCAGTCATGAGAAAGTAAGGGTGTTTGTTTGCTTTGGTAATCCATCATAATTGTACTCAAAATGTCACAAAAATAGAGGCCTTGCTTTTTTGTCTCTCCCTCTGGAGGTCAGACAACAAGCAGAGGAGAAATGGAAAGATACTGACTTGGCCACCAAGTCTCTGCGACTGTGTATGATCAGTAACATGCTGAAAGTGGAGTGTTGCGTTAACGGGGCTCACAGCATGAATGAGGTGGGTCTGGGAGCCTTTGGACAATACAAGACTCTGCCTGGACTGGACTGCACATTCCCAGGGTTTGTATATTATAGTGCAGCAGCCTTTTTAGTTGTTATGTTGTCAACTAAAGATATATATATATTTTTTACATTGTACATACAGAAGGTAAAATAGTGCATTATTCACTTCTATTAAATCCACTAATAGAGTGAATGTTTCGGTACACTGGATACTGACTATCTCATGTGCAGTGGCTATGAAGGTCTAATTAAAAACCTGATGTTGGAGCTCCCTGATGGATTAGTGACCTACAATATGCCTGTCCGATGCATCCACTGGAACAACTCGGAGAGGACGGATAACCCTGTGATGCTTGAGTGTGACAGTGGAGAAAAGATCAGTGCTGATCATGTTATCGTCACAGTGCCTTTAGGTACTTTGAATTGGAGGGTCAATCCTCTTTTATTCAACATGACTTTTGTGATCCTTTCCATGAAGCACTAAACTAAATGGTAATATTCTCTCAGGATACCTAAAGATGCACCATTCAACCATGTTCCAACCTCCTCTTCCTCTGCACAAGCTGCACTCTGTCCAGAGGCTGGGGTTCGGAACAAACAATAAGATATTTGTGGAGTTTGACGTACCATGGTGGGATGCTCAATGTGAGGTCATTTACCTGGTGTGGGAGGATGAGGTGAGGCCGACAGTCACAGACTTAAACCAGATTCCTTTTCAGAATGAACAGGACTACATCTAAAAGTCTCTTTGGTTTCTCCACAGGATGACATGGTAGATCAGTTTCCAGACATTCAGAGGTCCTGGATAAAGAAGTTATTTGGCTTCACTGTACTCAAACCCACCGAAAGGTGAACAGGCACAAGACACAGACATTTCCGGACACTTCAGCATGTTCATGCTGTGATTAAGGATGATTGACTATAAAGTTTTGTTTGGGGTCTACCCTTCAGGTATGGCCATGTTCTCTGTGGCTGGATTGCTGGGCATGAGTCAGAGTATATGGAAACACTGTCTGAACAGGAGGTCACACAGGCTGTCACACAACTGATTCGTAGGTTCACGGGTAAGTCATAAGGTTTTTACATTCAACAAATCTGTTTCATAGCCCTTTAAAATGATAACTGTTCCACTCAGACTAACTCTTTCTGTTCAGGGAACCCAACCGTTACCCCAACCAGAATTCTCCGCTCCCAGTGGTTCCATGATCCCTGGACATACGGCTCCTACAGCCACCTTGGGAATGGCTGCTCAGAGCAAGACCTGGACAACATGATGGAACCACTGCCGCCAAAAGGATCCCAGTCACAGGTACTCACGATGTTCATATACAGACATAAATATGTGCTCTGACACGTGATTAAAAGGTTTGTCTATTTCCTCTCGCCTCTTTCAGCCCAACCAAGTGCTGTTTGCTGGGGAGGCCACACATCCCTGCTACTTCTCGACTGTCCATGGAGCGCTTCTTACTGGGTGGAGAGAAGCTGATAGACTGATCTCTTACTATTCCTCCATAAATCCATCCGAGGCTTTCAAGTCAAAGCTGTAAAAAAGAGCAGTCATGTTGTTCCAAAAATATAAAGAATTACTGATTTACTTCACAAATAATGGGAAGCTAATTACAAATTGGACCATCATGGTAACCAGTTTTTTTTAATGAGTTAATGAATTGTCACAAGAAGCCAATGAAGTGTGATTCTGCTGCCTCTTTATACTTTACTGAAGTGAAATCCAGACAGATTAAAATTAATCTAATGGACCTTACACTAATGTTGTGTAAGGTCCTTTATTTTTATGGTTTATGTTAAGGATACAGTGCACTCTTATTATGAATCACAACTTTTATAGATTAGTATTAACTTTGTTCTAAAACTAATGTTCTTTTAATTTTGGAAAAATAAATGATTTACTTAATTTTTTTAACATTGATTTTGTCCTTGAAAGTTTTCAGTGCTTCTTTTTGTAAGTCCACTGTGAACAAATTGTTTTTGCTGATATCTCGTTTGAAATGCTTTGTATTTTTTATATGTTAGTTGATTTAAGTTTTAAGACCAAATTTAAGACAAAATTATTCTGTTTTGCCATCATGAGCCTCCAGAATTTACTTTGTTTAGCTAACCTCTTATCTAAAAAGTGTATATTGTCATCTCTATATGATATGCAGGTATTTTAAACACCAAACTGTTTGGAGAAAATAAATTCAACAACCAAATGCTTATTGAATATGTTATCAAATGTGGGTGTTTTTTTCCTTTTTTGTATCATATTTTTTATAGTATTTTTAAGGTAAAAACCTCTCAAATGTATCTTCATGTCTACAGGGCACATGTCTTTTTTCCCATCATTTTACAAAGTGTACCAACTATTTAGCCAACAGAAGGCGGTTTTTCTTTTTTCATGGACATGCAGCGGAACTGAATGTTTTGACAAGAGATTCAAGTCGGTATGTAAACAGGGAAGGACACAAGAGGTACTTTGGCGTAGCTTTTCGGGAAAGCAAAGACATTTAAATTATACAAATGACAGCCAGGTGTTATAGTTTTTAGGCTAACTTAAGTCATGAAACTTCATCAGGTTCTCCGCAATGTTGACAAATTCAGGTCCGTCTTCGACTTTGGTGGACGTGAAGTCGCTCACTGGTTCCCCGGACACATGGCTAAAGGTGACACATTTGCGTATTTACTTCCACAGTTAAGGAAAAGACGTTTTCTATGATTTTAAATATCTGATGGTCTTGTGAGGCACGTTTACAGATTTAGAGTATGATGTCCAGGGCCCATATCCGTTGTCATGATGTTTTCATATTTGTAGGTCTAAGGCAGATGAAAGCCAACCTTAAGAATGTGGACTGCATCATAGAAATCCACGATGCAAGAATATCCTTTTAAAGTCTAACAGCGGCTTTTGTGAGAAGTCATGGAGTAAATGAATAGCTGTGAATGCATTCAGATTTGGTTCAGTGAATATGTAAAGAAAACCAATGGCTGTTTTGTATTTTTTGTTGAGAAAATAATTCAAATCGAAACATGCTAACAATAATTACAATATTAGAATTCGTATTACAGTAATACGTTATTAGAATATGTACCTCATTTATCTGTTAACACAAACCCAGAGCGTCTTTTCAGTACATGCAACACTTTTCTCATCTACATTGGGTCCAGTGCTTTTCTAAAGGATACTAGAGCATGTGGAGTGATCAACACGGACATTTTTCACTTCCCCACTTAAGCTGTGGCTGCCATGCCAGTGCGTTCCTGATTAAAGTAATTTATTACAGCTGTGTGCATTTGTGTTGCATATTTGAATGTTATTGGTTTTGTCAAATATTTTTTAAAAAATCTACAAAGATCCCAGCAGGTTGATCTAAATATTGCTGCTTTTTCTTTGACATAAACCAAATCCCTTTGTCTGGAAGAAACCCTGTATTTCAGGACACACTGAATGTGAAACCACATCTGCTCATCCTCAACAAGATGGACCTGGCGGATCTGTCCAACAGGCAGGTCAGAGGACTTTCTGTTCTCCAACACTCACCAGTTTTTTTTAGATGATTGCTTTCACATTTTTGTTTGTTTGTTGTTGTTGTCTGGTTTTGTTGCTGCAGAGAATCTTAAAGAAGCTTGAAAAAGTCGGCATGGGGAATGTGCTCTTTACAGACTGTTTAAGACAGAGAGATGAAAACATCAAAAAGGTATAGCTAACTCTAAATACTAGCCATTTGGCTGCTTAAAGCAAAATTAAAATGATGATTATGAACATGTCAGGTCTATTGTTTTGTGTTCTTTTTTCCTACAGTTGCTGCCAATGGTGCTGCAAATCATTGAGAACAAGCCACGCTTTAACAGAGAGGAGGTATTTTCTTCATTTAGGGGTGGGGGGTTGTTTCTTTATTGTTTATCAAATTAGAAATGAAAAAAAAGTTCCTTTCTGTAGAATTTTATGGCTGAATTTGGTCTTTATGGCAGAATCTGTCCTCACTGTTTCACACAAATATAAACAACAACCTACTGCTAACAGATAGATATTAGCTATGCTTATCAAATAATATAATGCCTTTTTATTTTAATTCTATTTACTTTATCGGATCTATTATTCTTAAATGGCAAAATATCTGCCTTTTATCAAAAAAAGCTTCCACCTACAGTAGTTCTTTTCACTCTTTGGGCAAATTTCAGCAGTCATTGGAGGATGAATAAACCCTAACTTACATGTGCATATCTTTTTTTATGTCAAACTTTCAGAGCTCAGATTACTGTCTGATGGTGATTGGAGTGCCTAACGTTGGAAAGTCCTCGCTTATTAACTCACTGAGGAGAACAAACTTGAAAAAAGGTATGATAAGAATAGATGATTGGTGATGTTATTTTATAACTGTCTCTTAAGAAAATAATTCTGTGATTCTGCACAAACTTCAGGCCGTGCCTCTCGAGTTGGTGGGGAACCAGGAATAACTAAGGCTGTCCTGACTAAAATTCAGGTGTGTACTGCTGTGTTCGAAACTGTTTAATCAGTTTTTATGTGTGCCCATGTACCTGTGCAGTATTTCCTTTACTTTTGTTCCACACAGGTGTGTGAGAGACCTATGATGTACCTACTGGACACACCAGGGGTATTACCACCAAAGATTGAGAGTGTGGAAACGGGCATGAAGCTGGCTTTATGCGGTGAGACCAACATTGCTTTTTTAACCTTTCCTTTACATAACAGAGGCTGTCATTTATGAAAAAAATGAGGACATCTTTTTTTGCTTCCAGGAACAATTCTGGACCATTTAGTGGGTGAAGACATTATGGCTGACTACTTGCTCTACTCCCTAAACAGACTTGGGAAGTTCAGGTGTAATATTTTTTTTCTTTCTCTTGTAATAGTTGTCTTGTAAACCTGTCCTTTATTGGCTCATATTTTCATTATTCCATCTTGTGTTTATTTTTAGTTATATGGAGAAATATGACCTTCAAGCACCCAGTGATGACATCCACCATGTCCTTAAACACATTGCGGTAAAGCTTAGAAAAACTCAGCGGGTCAAAGCCTTCACTGGATTGGGTAAGGAAAGGCAATTCCTGCGCATCCTGCAAATTACTGTCTCATCACACAGTACTTATTACCTTGCTTTGGGGGAGTAGTGCTGATACTGTTGACATTATCTGCACAGTGAATATAAACCCACAGCCTGCAGATACTTGGCAAGAAATAATTGATTGTTGGACACAATTCAAATACCTTATTTTCTGAGTTCTGATTAATTTTGAGAAATATGGTTTCAAATAACTGCAATAGTTGGATATAAAAAGAAAAATGGGAAAACCACTCTGTCCAGATACGCTTGCCTTGTTAACAAAGTTGTTACGTTAGATCCCACCTCCTGCAGAATATTTGTTGTTTATTACACAAAACAATAACAACTGTTCCTCTACACTTTTTAGGAAATATCACGGTCACCATCCCAAACTACACAGCAGCAGCGTATGATTTCATCAGGGCCTTCAGGAAAGGAGAGCTGGGACAAGTAATGCTGGACTGATCCGAGCCACGTTTTTTGCACTTCCCCATCACGGTGCGGTCAAAGACTCTAGACTGTGTCGGACCTGGTCGGATGCAGGGATGTTTGCTGTATATTCTCATAAGGCACTCTAGGCAGATACCTGGTATGGTGTAAACAATGTATTTATTAGCATAAAGACAGTGATAACAAACTTTCATTTATTGTGTACATACTGGTTGCAGAATATAATTGAGTGTACTTCTAGCTACGGAACAGTCTGTTGCTCCTGAGTGTTTCACATGGAGGATGATGGACACATCAGAATAATGCATCTGTACAGCAACACAATGTTCGGCAGGGCACCGAACAGGACCTGAGAGTCCAGTCTGGAATGTAGGTTTTCCAGGAAGAACTGTGAATATATCTCTTGTCAGTCAAAGTTACTAAATGGAGCGGTATGTCGCCTGCAGTCCATTCGTCTGCTGCCTAAACTGCAGCAGGTTGAAGCTTTTCATCCCAGATAAAGAATGTTTGGTCCAAACGCGAACTAACTTTTGGCCAGGAAGGACAGCATTGACTCAGGGTGTGATCACCTAGCTCCCTCCCCTCTTATTTGACAGGCACGGCCATATTCTGCACTTTAATTTGTCCTTTGAGCCACATGAGGCCCTCACAACTCTTACTGTAGATCATTATACAACATCTGTTTGCAGGATGGTTTGTGTTTGTCTTGGCTGAACAGAGCAGTCATAGAAATCACTTCAACTTTTTTTTCTCCATAAAAAGGAGGGTTTTTTTGTTGTTTTTCTTTTGGTAAAAATCTTACACTGGCAGGGAATTTGTTTTTACTTTTACGAAGATATATTTAAATGTTCAGTAAGATAATGGACTTACACTTTGTCACAAAGGGTAAAACAGTTAACAGTTTTGAGGAAGATCCACATGTCATAGGGTGAAATGTGCCCAAAAATACAATGCTGGTAATGTTTATTTGTCCACATATCTAAATGAGTTTGTGTAAAAAGGTAGAGTACAGTGATGTCTTCGTAATTGTATCCTTCCATCACTGTTTCACACCCCAAACTCTTCCCAGCGTAGCTTCTGTCCGGGGCTCAGTCCTAAACCCTCCGTGCTTTGTCCTTAAAATGGTACGGAACACCTACAGTATGTAGTCCAACATGTGGCCACATGTGGGGGAGAATGTGGCAAGAATGATCGAGACCACTTGAGACAGAAAAGATCCGTTTTGAGTCGAGCTTGACATGAGCGCATCAAAGTAATTGGTCCTGTTGTAGAAATCCAGCTCGTCCTCCTCGCTGTGGGCGTTGCTGCGGCGGTAGGCGGACGCGTACCACTTCTCCGCCGTCAGCGCCACCGCCGCCCCCGCGGCCGCCGCCGCCGCCACCCTCACCGGGGACGACCGCCCCGCCGCCCTGAAGCGGGAGCGGGTCCCCCCGTAGGCACCCCCTCCCCGGTAGGTCCCGGACGTGGAGCTGCGCGAGGAAGATCCACGCGAAGATCCCCTGGACCCTCCGCGTCCTCCTTTGGACAGCGCAGGCTCGAAGAGGACAGCGGAGAGCAGGAGGAGAGTCCAGCAAGTGGCGACCAGCTGGTTCATCCCTGACATCTGCACAGAGAAAAAGAATCATTCCTCAGTCTGGTTTTTGTGTGGCACAACATTTGCACAAACTGTATATGCACGCATGAATCCAGAGCATGTAAACTCCAAGGAGCTCAGGTTGTTTGATTAAATAAACCCTTCTGCACAGTGGAGCTGAACAAATGCACATAGAAACATATCTGTGATGCACGATGCTCCTCTCCATTCAAGTAGGTCACTGTAAAAGCAAAACCGCCTCACAATATTTCCTCTGCAGGCTTCTTTTAACGATGAAATAACAGTACACGTCCTCCATTCTATGCACGATTATTCATGAAGCGTTTTTTTTTTAATCCATTTTCGGATCAATCATTTCAATGCACGATCGTGCTTCAGCTGGTAATTTAGTGACTAACGTAGATATGTCAATGATTACGTCTTTGTTGTTGCACTGTGAAATTATGAATGCAATGATTTACCAGTGTAACGACGGTGTAAACAGATGCATGATGACCACCTCGCTGTTTTCTCATAAATTAGGCAGCCAGCTATCATTGCGGATGAATGGATCAGAACATTGTGTAAATGCAAAGATACCCTATATGTTCCAACACAGATCAGTGTTAACGGCTTTATCATAATGACTGGAGCTTACCTTATTGCCGTGTATTGCGATTGTTTTCTTAGCCCACGGAGGAAAGATGAGAGGGAACGTCGCGAACGATGCGAGGATGCTCACGCACACGTTTGCGAGAACGCGCAGTGAGCTCTCACACGCGAGCATTTAAGGTCGTGAACCAGTTTTTTAATCAAAGACTGTAATCAGTTCACCACCCCTAAGTTGCGTTGTGCTTATTAGACCTAATATTGTTTTGAATCTAATACTTGTGTTTGTAATTCTACTGATCGTTTTGTGGTTTTAGAATTGTTTTCATCCAGCTCAGCCCAATTCAGAATCTGCAGAACACAGATGCATGTTCGCCATTTTCTGTAACAGAGCATCACATCTTCATAATTTGGTGTCTTTCTCTGCTCATTTATAACACATTCGTCTCCATGATCCATTGTCTCCAACTGCATTCTTCAGGCCCCATCTGCAAGCCTTCAAGGACCTGATCAGGTATGTTTGTCCTCTCACAGTTGACAGGCATCCAACACTTTGAAATACAAGCCAATGTGAGGACATGACCTAGTTTTTAGTTCTAAAGTGTAAATGAATATCACAGGCTAATAAACACCTAGAGTAAAACACCGAAAACATGTTTTGCGGGACGTTATCATTTCACTCACTTAAGAGAGTAATTCTCCCTGGAACTCAAAAGACACTTTGGCAGCCAGACTGCCTGTAATTCCCTCTGGCGCCGCCAGGGGGCTGTACTGCGACACGTCCGAGCGTTCCGTGAAGGGGAAAACACCGGCGAAGAAAAACTGCGTGAGGAAGGAGCTTCCTGCGATTCTGAGGCAAAGTTGAGCGTCGTTGTGCAGTCATGGCTTTCCTGTGCAGACGTGTGGCCGTCCTTCTGAGCCCCCCCAGAGCGGGGCCGGCTCTGCTGTCCGCGGCACGCCTCTACAGCTCAGGTGTGTGTGGTCAGAAAGCCAGCTCAGAGGTCACTTTGCTATCGAAGCCCCACGGTGCCCTGAAAGAGAATGCGTGCGTGGACATTGCTTGTCATGTCGGGCAGGTTGGAGCGTTATTTGCACCACAGAGGATGTTCTTCGCAGCTAAACGCTGATCCAGGGCAGTCACTTCTTCCTCGTGTCTGCATGGCGTCGGTTCAAGGGCAAAACAGCTGTAAAGGAACGTGCCACTGTAAAAAGGCGATGGCACGTGTTCTGTTAATGACATCTGAGCTTATAAACGTCCAGAGTGGAACTATTGATAAGACGTTGCCTGACAGTATTAGTTTTATGGTTAAGTGTGGAATCTGTTCAGTTTTCTCCCCTCACAAAAGTGTCAAGTCATGTTAACTCTTGATGTCCCTGAATATACTTTTTTTTGCAAGTTTGGTTTTTAAAATTTTCCCTTTTTTTATTATTCTTGACTTTAATGGTAAAAACATCTCTACAGCTCGAGATGGGTAATAAAAATGTTTGGATTAGAATTCCTTTTTAACTAAATGTTTGATATAAGAATGAGAAACCTAAACATATCAGTTTGGTTCTTGATGCTGATGTAGAGACACAGGTGGACAACACTGGATAAATTATATCCATAGTTGTTCTCTTGAAGGATTGACAGGCACGTCTCGGGTACGTTCCGAGGTCTCTGTGAGGCATGTTGAATTCAACTTTTGGTGATCAGAGTTTGTTTTGCTGGCATGCAGGGGGTCAGTACGAGTACATTTTGGTGGAAAAGCTAGGGGAGAAGAGCAACGTTGGTTTCATCCAGCTGAACCGACCCAAGGCTCTCAACGCTCTGTGCGACGGGCTGATGAGGGAGGTGGGACAGGCCCTGGACGCCTTCGAAGCCGACACAGACGTGGGCGCCATCGTCATCACCGGCAGCGACAGGGCCTTCGCTGGTAAGGATCCGAGTCCACATCCTGTCCATCTTTTCTCAGCCTGCTCACATGAAGCCGTTTACTTGAGCTGCGATGTCTTGTAGCCGGAGCAGACATTAAAGAGATGCAGAATCGAACCTTCCAGGAGTGCTATGGCGGGAATTTCCTGGCTCACTGGAACAGAGTCTCAACCGTGAAGAAACCCGTCATCGCGGCGGTCAATGGATTTGCTGTAGGTGTTGTTGAAGTTGCTAAAGACACAGTAATGCTTGAGTTTCGTAGATGTCCTCATCTGGTTGTTGTACTCTGTCCCAGCTGGGTGGAGGTTGTGAGTTCGCCATGATGTGTGACATCATCTACGCTGGGGAGAAGGCACAGTTTGGCCAACCAGAGATCCTGCTGGGGACCATTCCCGGTAAAGCTCGCCTCCTCTACCGCGCAGGCTGCGCTGCTCCTGCAGCAGCTCCTCACGGCTTTTCTCCCCACAGGGGCGGGCGGCACCCAGCGGCTGACGCGCGCAGTCGGCAAATCCCTGGCAATGGAAATGGTACTAACCGGAGATAGAATTAACGCTCAGGAAGCCAAGCAGTCAGGTAACACCAGTAACTGGACAATGGATAAATTATCTTTACGCAGTTTTTTAAAACACAGTGACATTTTCAGTCTTAAGTTCTCCCAAGGTTAAGTTTCAGCCTGTCTGTAAAGAGGTATTTGTTTTTATTTTCCATCTGGTGCAGCTGTTTTTTCAGAAATTGGATTGGAGGAATTTATTTTATGATAAGCACTTTCTTAAAGCCACAGAGCTTTTAGGGAGTAATCAGACCAGTATCGGCACCACAGCTGGTCAACAGATGCTCACAGCTGATAGAACAGATTCAAACTTGACCAAACATGACATGTAAAACAATCCTGTGTGTATATATGTGTTTTTATTTGGCATATTTACCTTATACGACTCACAGCTGTGTGTGCTTTCCAGGTTTGGTGAGTAAAATCTTTCCTGTGGACCAGCTGGTGCCTGAAGCTGTGAAATGTGGGGAAAAGATTGCCTCCAACTCAAAGCTGGTTTCTGCTATGGCTAAAGAGGCTGTTAACGCTGGTGGGCATATTTTTCCATGCTTTTTTTTTTTTTTAAGTAGGAAATCTGCTCCGTTTAACTTTTTTCTGATTTCTTCTCCTGTGCCCTCCCAGCTTTTGAACTGACCTTGGCTGAGGGAAATCGCTTGGAAAAACGTTTATTCCATGCTACTTTTGCTACGGTGAGGATGAAAGAGGCCTTTATGCAAAGCAACAAAAACGTCATATTCTGTTGGTGACAATTAATCCTATGTGATTTCTCTTTACAGGATGACCGCAAAGAAGGCATGACTGCCTTTGTGGAGAAGAGAAAAGCCAGTTTCCAAGACAATTAGATTAAGAGCTGCTGAAGAAGCACTACAATTCCTAATACCCGTTGATCACTTCCTCCCCAGAGGTGCATTGAATAATGCTAAAAGCTGGCAGTGGTGGAGCAGGCAGGCCATGAACATTAGGGGTTTGGCACCATGTGAGCGCACCAGAGTGTCCTTTCGCGTGCCGCAGCCCAGGTTTGTTTCTGGGTGTGATTTCATAACTTTTAGGGCCATTCTACAACTGCACCAATCAGCTTGAATGACTCGTACTAACTTTGCCTTTTCATTTGTCAAATGTTTGTAGCAACTTATTATATGTACATTTTACAAATAAATCAAAAGAGTGATTTTCAGTACTGGAGCCGAAGTGTGATTAGTCAGGGGCTGATGAGGCAGTTATTTCTCATCAAAGCTCAGTAAAGAGCACCTCGCACCACTAGATGGGGCCGTTGCGAGCTTTAACAAATGTGCAGAAACATATATTTATATATATATATATATCTTTTTTTTGTGCATAGTTCGGGGCTGTAATGGACAAGTCACCAAAACACAGCCACTAATCCAAGATAAATGTTGATGAATCACAGTAATCCAACTGAGACATTAATCCAATTTATTTCCATGCCCTCAGATGGCACCAACATGCAAAACTTTGGATAGAAGGCAGCATTGAATGAACAAGACAAGAAAAGTCATTTTTCTACAAAAAAATAAAAAACAAATGTTAACCATTCTTTGAAAAATAGCTGCATAAAAGTAAAATGTATTTTAGAATGAGAAAGACTCGCATGAAACGGTTTCGGAAATTTGGATAAAATGGCAGGAAAAACTTTGGGGTAAAGGTATATCCAATTACATTGGTTTAAGAAAAACTATCATAATGCCCACGTTCATATCGTAACTACAAAAAGTCTACACGCTGCTCTGCAGTTTGCGTCCTGTCTGTTGGTTGAAAATGTCTGCCAGGGCATACAAATATAATTTTGATTTCAAAGAGAACACCATAACAAATTTGGTTAGTGTGGCTTTCCTTTGTTGCTCCAATCATCAGGAGGCATCTTTTCTTTCTGTGATCTTCACACGACGGCGCCCCATATCTTCACAAGGCCGTGGCCTAATTGATTTTTTTTCTTTTTTATTCAATATTCCCCTGAAGTTTGCTCAATTGTGAGCCCCCTGGAACAAAAACTTTGTTCTTCTTTTTAAAAAGAGGAGAAAAAACTTGTCTTCTCTCTCTGCAGGGAAGCACGAAAGTCTGCAGAAAGAACCAGAAAGAAACTGCTCTTTGAGGCTGCCGAAAGGTCAAAATAATAAATGTAGACTCAATTGACGCACACAAAAGGAGGCAAAACGTTACAATTTGGCAGCACAGACCCTCATAGCGTGATAAACTCATTTAAAGAAGACGAAATGAAGTTAGAGCAGCATGGGTCCTGAGAAGGGGGAAGGGGCTTCCAGATTTGGCAGAAGGCCCTGGCTCCTGCAAGCTTCATTTTTCTTACCCAGCAAAATCCAATCTCTAACCCCAAAACACTGCAGCTGTGACACTCAGTCATGTTGCTGACTTTATCTGCGTGGTTTTGATCCAGTTATGGACAAAACCATGTATATCCTTTCCTAAATTAGTTCAAACTGTAAGCAAAAAGGGCATATATGTGTTTTTATTTATTCAGAAATGTAAAAAACATATAGAATATTTCTCTTTTCATTAAAGGGAAGCTACGTAACATCCCCAGACCATTTGATAGCACATGCTATGTGCTCATGGGAAAAATAAATGATCCCTTTTCATGTAGCCTACTTTTTGTTTTCATGGTTTTGTCATCCAGCTGAACGCTCTGGCTCAGCTCTGGCAGGTTGGGTGGAGTGTGTTTCATCCACCAAATATTTTCATTATCTCAGATTTTTGGCATCAGACCGTGTGTCAGAGTACTACACTCACTGGAGTCTGTTTTGAGTTATGCCCACCCAAAGGCGTCAAAAGCAGCACAGATCAACAATTTACCATGTTGGACTATCTGTGTTCAGATAAGCCACCAGTGGGAGGTTTGGGGAATATTTAATCATGAGCACATTTACGAAGAAGATGGTAATACATTACCAGACATCTTCACTTTACGTAGCAGCTCAAGGAAAGCAAAACTTTTATTAAGTAACTAAGTTTTACCAATCGACCAAACCAATAGTTTTCCTTTTTTATTCCGAACCTATAAGTCTAGCTACTGAGTAACGCTTTCTTACAGAAATGTACTGGTCGGTTCTTTAAATAAATATATGAATAAATAGATAAACTTTTTTTTTTTAAAGCGGTCAAACGAAAACGGAAGTTGGTGGAGTGAGTCCTCTCGTCTCCATTCGGGCTCCGTTCTCCGAGCTCTTTGGCTGTCAGCATGGTCGTGCTAAAAGGAATCCCCTCTGTCTTATCTCCTGATCTGCTACACGCGCTAGCCAAAATGGGACATGGAGACGAGCTAGGTATGGTTTCCAACTGCACACACATGCTTTGAAAGCCTTTGGACACAGCTGAGCTGTAAACTAATGCCCCTGTCAGACGGACAGGGCAGGTCCCTCAGAGTGTGTACTCACAAAAGTAGTTCCGGACTTTAAAAAAAAAAAAAAATCTCTTCTTTCAGTACTCGCAGATGCTAATTTCCCAGCCGCTTCTATCTGTGCGTGTGGTCCCAAAGAGATTAGAGCTGATGGTATGTTAAGACATCATCATGTCAATAAATCAGTCAGACGTGTCTTCATACGTCATGGCTCACGCTATCTCGTCCTGATGTAGGTTTGGGGATCCCACGGCTACTGGAGGCCATTTTGAAGCTGTTTCCCCTGGATACGTACGCCCCCAGTCCGGTACAGGACCAGTAGAGTCTCAAGGATTTAAATATCAGGGCATTAAATTGTTATTTGGTTCTTTCTATGTCTTAAAACTGGACACATAATATTTAGATGATGACTAATATTTTATTGTCACTCAAATCAACTAACTTTATTTTTTAAAAGCCAAATCTTTGTGTGTGTGAGACATGGGGATTGCAGACTTATTAACCCATTGTTTTGCTGGGAAGATAACATGTCCAGACTAGGGAAGCACATGGTCATTCTTTTGCGATGCCTCCACAGGCGGCAGTCATGGATCTGGTAGAAAGTGACAAACAGAGATGTTTAGCTGTCCCTGTGTGGGGGACGTACACGCAGCTCCTCTGCCAGGCGGGATCTCAGGTAGGCGAGCCCATCCACTCAGAGTTTATAGCAGCAAACAAGTCCACGGAAAATGAATTTGCTTTTACACAGGACTCTCCATAATATTTCTGTTTGAATACAGACCACCCTTGAGGTGGTGGAAAGGTTTGCATTCTATGAACGAGCCAAGAAGGCCTATGCTGTTGTAGCCACGGGGTACGTGTTAACTCTGCCTTTATTTCTGTTTTTCTGTCAAAGTGTTTGATCAGTGACCCTTTTAAACTATAAATTGAGCTGTAAATCTCAACCTATTCCTGGTTACTGTTTCCTTCAGGGAGACGGCCCTATACGGTAACCTGATACTGAAGAAGGGAGTCATTCCTGCTGATCAGCTTCTGTGACGCAGAAAGAATTTGATCATATCATCATTTCTGTCATCCATGTTTTTTCATGGGATGTTTCCCTAACTTGAACTCTCTACATCAGGTGATTTCCCAGGAAGCAGAATTTTGATTTTGGTCAGCTTTTGCAAGACCCTTAAAATATGTAAGACATCATTTTGTTAATTTTTACTTTATACAGGAATGGAATCAAATGTATTTTCAACTTTTCTTGACTTTGCATTTTTGTGAATAACCTCTGCTGCATGGTGTTTTATTCCATCAACAAAACATAAGCCATACTGTTAGTGAGTTTTGTAAAAATAATTCCTAACATAAAGACATGACCAAATGAGACCTTTGTGTTGAAAATATTTTAATAAAATCGTATGATGTGCTTGCTTTGCAGCGGCAGTGTATCAGCCTTGTGCTTTGAGATTATTGGGATCTAAACATGTTAAGATAACCGTAGATTACTGGTGGTAGAGGTCATCCATATCTTCCTCTGGCTCACTGTACTTCCCCTGAAACGGCACAACGGCGGCAGCGTTCGGCTCTTCTTGGTGAAGGGCTGGCGCAGGGAGTTCTTTGTGGTAGAGCTCATCCAGGTCCTCCTCTGGCTCCAGCTCAGTCGCCACAGGTGAAATGTGGTCCTCATCCTTCTCCAGCTGATCTGTTTCAGCTATGTTTTCAGCCACAAGTGGGATCAAATATCCAGCCACATCTTTGAAAACAGGGTGGTCAATCTCATCTCTATCTTCTTCTGGTTCCTGCCTGTACGGCATGTTTGCATTGTCGCTTGGCAGCTCTCCTAGGAAGTCGGAGGCAGGGTCCAGATTTTGAATTTGAACTTGGAGATCAGCCAGTGAGGGATGATACAGCTCGTCCAAGTCTTCCTCAGCCTTTAGGGGCTGTCCATAACCTGCCATTGTCTTCCACATCTCCCCGCTGGGGTCGAACACAAATTGAGTTTTGTCGGTGTCCTCTGGGGCCTCCACCGCTACTTCCCAGGACAACTTTCCTTGGTCATCTATTGACCTAAAATAAGGATCGTTCATTGTCTGCTTCCATTTAATCAGTCCAAAGATTATTCATTTTTATTATAAGGAAATGACAACTTACAAAACAGTTTTCTGGAATGCCTTGTCTGGAGGTTTATTCTGAAAAGGAAATTAATTATCTAAAAGGAAATTCTTAAAGACATCAGGAGTGCAGTGTGATGTGATCTGAGTCTGTACATACAAAGCAACACAGCTGGTGAGGTTCAATAAATACATACCCAGGGCTTTCCTGTGATGCAAAATATCAGCGAAAAGATCACTATCAGAGAAATCCTGTGAGCAAAGAGGCTCCGGATTAGTGATCCACAAGTATTACGGATGATAACAAAAGAAAAGAAAATCAAGCCCACTAACAACAATAAGTGTTAAAACCATGTTTACTGCCAGAAAAGTATTAGGAGATTTTTAGCTTTCTTACCTGAACATCGTGCCTCTTTTTGCTTTCAGCTCTATGTCTTAAAGACGTCTCAGTGTCCCTGCTGTGGAAATGAAGGTCCAAAGTTCCAACAATAAACCTGTTATGTTTTTTTGACCTTTGCCTTGTCTGGACAAAAAAACTCTCAGCTCAAAGTAGCATTTCAGTATTTATTTAATCTGCAATGTGCTTAAAAGAATAGAGTCTGATCTATAAAACAGTCTTTTACCATCTATAATTGACAATATGGGTACAAATTGTGATTATCTTTCGTTATTAAGGTTAGAAGGCCTTCGGAGCTGTGGTCAAGGTTATTTCTTATCATTATTTAAAAATAGTTTTATCACTTTCACTAAAGAAAAGCTGTCTTCTCTTATTTTGGACTAATTCAAATCGTCCTGTTACACAGCAAGTTGAATCCAATTGTCATTGCAAGTTATTAATTAACATGTTAACTCTCCTGGTGCAGTGAAGAATTTTCATGGCTGCAGTGACACTGCATACTTGGATGTACTCATGCTCATGAGGAAAGTGTATGTTCCGGTAAGGTTAAGATATAAATGTTTTCACGCATCAGTGTAATCTCTCAGTGGAGCATTGATCATAAATACAGTTACACAAAGCAAACAGAACCTGCATGCTGGCATGCATTGAAATAGTTATTCTCATCCAGACAATAGTTAATCTTCAATTAATTGGAAAGTATTGATCAACCTTCACACAGATAGATGGCAGTCAGGTGATTGATGTTTTATTACTGACAGATGCCACAGATATTACATTTATCCAAACACTCTAATATAGAAAAGCTTCATGTGTCATATACAGTACACAGCTTTTGAAAAAACACTGCCCAGTTGGAATTAAATCAGCCTACTCAGAGATTACGCTGATGCTTGAAAAAATGTAATTCTTAATCTTACCTGAACCTACTCATTCTTCAAGAGTGTGGTTACATCTGAATATGCATTTTCACTGGAGAAGAGAGCCCAGGAGAGTCATTATGTTAATGTGTAGATTAATAATTTGCAATGACTGTTGGATTCAACTTGCTGTGCAACAGGACAGCAGCAGTAAAAGACACACCAGACACTCCGTCCTCTGTTCAGAGGATGGATCCAGCTTGTCTGCAGCTTATCTGCCCTATGTATCAGATCCATATGTACAATATTGTTGCTCCACCAACCGCTCTTCCAGGTCACTGAATGGCCTGCTACTAAAAAAGGGCAAGAAAATGAAAGGCATATGTCTGTGAAATATTAGCAAGGAAATGACTACTGTTGAATTCTGTAATACAATACTCCTATCATTCAATTTGTTGCCCAGACTTAAACTTAACCTAACTGTAAAATTCTGCTCTGTGATCTTCTCAGTATACGACAGGATTATCGAAAAATGTGCTCCAGTATCTGTATTCAGTTGTGCATCTTGCTTGGATGTTTGGAACTCTCGTTTTTCAGACACTGTAAATGTCTTAAAAGCAGGAACATTTAGCATTTAACGGACATAGAAGAGGAGTTTTCAGATTCATTTGGTTCTCAGGCAAATAAACATAAATGAAATGGATACTGAGCTTGTTACCAGTTTGTGGGGTAACTTACATCATGCTATCATGCACCATGTTAATAAAAAAAACTTTTAGTGGGGCTAAGCAGTAAGTAATGTCAGCATACAGTGACTGCAGCCAATAAACTGCAAAACACATACACACACTTTCACACGTGTTGTTGCACAAAAAGCAAATGTGAGCCAAGAATAAATTGCTTTTCTGTAACTGTTTAAATGCACATTGAGTCATGATTTATGCCCAAAACCAAGTCAGAAAACATGCTCCAAAATTTGCAGTTTGCAGCACTTGATGGGACCGAACCCCAAAATACTGAACACCCATTTTAACATGAATGATCCAGGGTTCACTTGCCTAATATTTCTGTCTCAATTTTGTTGCATATGTGTAGGGTTGAGTACAAATGAAAATTTGGAAATATTTTAGTCCCACATATTTATTTCCACACATGCACAATTTTTTGCCAAAAACATTAGATGAATATGTCTCTACTCCAATGACTAACGTCTTCAAACTGTTACTGTGGCGCTGGATCTGCTGCCCTGGCTATGCCTTAAATCCAATGACAGTTTACCGCTGCTTTCAGGAATGCAGCTGTCATGTTTCTACTTGACTCTAAGAGGCATTGTTACATAGACATCTCCACTTAAAATGGAAACAAATAGAGAACATAATTTATTCAACAGGTGACAATCTATTGGAGACATCAGACTGCACACTAAAGCTCACGCATTGCTGTTTCAAATTGAACCAAAACAGAAAAGTCACTCATGCATACTAAAACAGTCATCAGCACCAACAGCTCATCATCACCGTCATTACTATCAGCAATCCCCCATAAAGGTCGCTCCAGAGCACAGAGCTGCTTTGAGGCTAACCACCCCTTCGCCTCTGTACACAGAGTTCCATCACACCCCCCACACTTACAACATTTAGGAAAGCTGGGGTTTTCTAAATAACTAAAATTAACTCAATGATCTACAATTAACTTAATTGTTGCTTCACCAACATCCATTAAAGACACATCTACATCTAACAGTGGAGTTTATGGCATGAATTACAGGGCTTGGAGGACCTCCATGGAAGAGCAAAGGCAAAGACGAAATTCAGTAACTATTCTTCAATATTGTGATTTATTCGTATTAGAAATGTCCCATTAATGAACAGGTGGAACTTGAAGAGAGAAAAATGAGGAGGATGATGATCCAACCAGTCTGGGGTCTGGAGCCACTTGATTATTTGGCTCCATATGTAATGCCCAGAACAGTTTTCCGGCAACAATAGTTCTGACGACAGCCGAGACTCCGGAGAGGAGATGGACCAGCAGCAGCACAGCCCCACAGGAGACAGAATGTGGAGTCTGTTATGTAACCGATGAAAGGATAGTGGGGAGCTCTTTGTTTGGATGGAGACACAGAAGAATGTGGTTAACCTTTCTGTTCAGGGCAGCTAATCTGAAAGGCTGATGTGAGTATCTGCATGAAAGATGACTATTAGCTATGCTAGCTGCTTGTGCTGACACAGAACCAATGCACCACTTTAACAGTGTGTCTTATGCATGGAAATCATACATTAAGGATGCAGTAATGAGAGGGAAAGCTCAGGTGGTCTCTCTTTTTCTTTCTCACACACACAAGCATGCCGTACACCCTTATCCTCCCTCAATCACACCCCTCATAAACACAGTAAACATGTGGGAGCTGTTAAAGTAGGTTTAATGGCTATTTACTGTGTTTTGTGCGCTTCTCATTAGATAGATTTTCCACTCAAAGAGAGCTAATGTTTTGGAAAACTCTGTTTAATGAAACACACTCCTTGCCAACACTTGGCACATGTAGCTCTTGTCAGTAATTAAAAGATCTGCCGAGCACTGGAGAAACCAGGGAAATGCAGAAACTTGACTGTTAACTTGTGTGAATCTGTTCTGCTTTTCAAGCCCTCAAACTGCAATATCATTTTTAGGAATTCTGGGCAGCAGAAAAAAACAGGAAGAATGTAAAGATAGAATAAATAATATAGTTTGAGATTGCAAAATGAATATTGGAAAACTAAGTTTCTAAGTTAGTTGCAAAATTTTACTTTACAACAAGATGTCACTTAAGCTGGGCTCACTTCTGAACTATTGAGATATTCAGGAGAATGTGCAGATGATTTGATACAGAGGTTTTGGTTGTCACTCAGCGTGGGCCTGTGATGGACCGGTTACCTTTCCCGGGTTTGCCCCACAACAGTTGGGATGGGTTCCACCTTCTGGTCATATAAAATATGCAAAAACCTGTGTTCTAAAAAGGCCTCAACCACCAGAAAGTGCCTTTCCTATATGTAGTTTTAAATTGTACATCAAACTATATGGTTTGATTAATCAAAACAACTAGAAACTCAAGTCTTAAAAATAAATAAAGAACTAAATAACAAGGCTACTTTGCCTGCATCTGGGAATTGATGAAGAAGCTGCGAGTTGATGTTTTATGATATGGCACTTAATTAAATTTGGTGGACAAAATGACCTGCTATGAGGTTGTGGTCATGTAATAAATAGCTGTGAGACCTAATTTGGAAAAGGCAGATGATAATCAGTAGTTTAGCTATTGATGACCCCTGTGACAGAGAACAATACTTGCTTTTTAAGATGCAAGTCCTGCTGTGATTCATCTAAGAATCGAAACATGCCCAGAGGGTGGAGCACAACAAACATTAAGCTCAAACCCCAAAGACATAGAGATCATTTCAGCAGCCTAGCTACCAGCTGCAGTACCCATGACCTTTAACCCCCGACCCCTTGCTCCAAAGAATTCATGAAAGAACCATCAGCTGCATGAACCCAGAGGGGAACCAATTCCTAAAACACTAAGCCAACACAGGTGTCAATGAATACAGGTGTCACACCGCCACTTCCTCGTAACAGCAACACACACTGCATCCACGGCATCTTCACAGTGATTGTTATGTTCTAAATTTGTGTATGTCCGAGTTTGTGTGTCAAAGTCCCATCTGACCTGATGTTCCTGCTTTAAAGAGAGGATCCTGCTGTTTCCTGATGGAAAGCTGCCTGCAACAGAAAGATCTGGTTACAAGAGCACTACACTTTCATCCTTATTGAAGAAACATGTGCTCGCTTTAAGCAGCTTTGTCAACGGATGAAACTTATCATGCCCTCTGCTTCTAATACGGACAGGATCTTACACAGATTTGGCTGAGTAATGCTGTCCCTTTGGAGAAACAGAAACAAACTTCACTAATGAGAAAATGGGTTAGTCATTTCTACATTTCCATATAGAAATTAAGAGCACTATTTTTATAAAGAAAGCTGTGAAAATATATTTTCAGTCTCATACCAAATATATAAGATTACAGGGCATGTATTTAAAGACTAACTTTAAGCCAAACTAATAACCAGTCCTTCAAGGCTTCAAAATGAACACAGGGAGAGATTATTAATATAAT